TATGGAACACTGTTGCACAAGACCTATTGTTTTCTCTAGTTTTCAATCAAGACTTCAACATCTGAAGTGGACATACTGAGAAATTAGTTTTCTTTTTTAGGTATAATCAAAAACATATGGCCACTGCTGCGGACATAGTACAGTATGGACACTACTCACCTGCTCTTCCTTCAGATTTCCACAAAGATACTTCCACAGGAATAATGGTGAAAATGGAGTCAGAATCTGTAGACTAAATGCAGCTCTGAAGAACAGTTTGGTGGTTGGTTTTGTTTTATTTTTTTTAACACTGTTGATGAGGGAACACTGAGGAAAACTTTCAGATTCAGTTCCTTTGACTCAACAGCCCTTAAGTTTTTACAAGCTAAGAAATTGCCCAAGAGAGTCTTTTTTGGACAGCATCTTATTGAAAAAGCTAGGAAGGCCTGCAAACTTAACCTTTCCCTGCCCTTCAGAGGGGAAATTTTTTTTAATTTACTTTATCATGAACTTTTAAAAGGACTTCATTCACACCACTTCAGTCTGAATTGTCATGTGAAATCTTCACATGGCATAAAGGAACTGATAGTGGAACAGGGAAAGAGAAGCTGGAGTGCGAGTGGGTGCCAAGAAATACAGAAAAGTTGAGCTTGCATGCCCTCCTATTATGCCTTTTCCTAAGAAAATTGAGGAGATTTTTACACTTCAAAATTATTAAAGAAGTTTATGTAACAAAAGACATGAATAAATAGGGTATGTACATGTAGATACGTTTTGGATATTAACAGACGTATAAATTATTTTTTGATCCCAGGATTTAGTATGAAGTTTTCTCTCTGATCACAGAAGCAAAACAGATTAACTTCTGCTAAGATAGCTATTTCTAATTGTCCTCTGCTACAGACTTTTCTCACTGCCATGTTCTTTGGTACAATCTTTTAGTTTTAGATTGCATCAACTTCCAATTAACTTCTGCAAAAGATTTCACATTAATAACCTTTCAGTAATATCTGCACTGTAATCTCCTTTCCTGTCACCACTTCCTCTATGTACCTTTTGAAATTTCCTGTGTTTGAAGCTCTCCTTGTATGGGGTAGAATTAAATTGTGAAATAAAGCTTTTAATCCTAAAATACAAGCAGAAAGATCGTGTTAACATCTTATTATGTTTTCTCCACATCTACTATTGGTTACTATCCTCTCAACACAAACATTCTCACTTCCTTGTTCTTTTAATTTTCATATAAAAGGAACAAAATTCTAAAAGATAACTGCAATATGGTAGATAAATGAAATTTCAAGTAAATCCTTTCCAAATAAAAGAAAAAGCAAAGGTTGTAGAGCTTCTGAGTTCACAGTGCTCTTGAGCATCACTCCAAATATAGTTACATTTCTTGGATGTACATTCAGCTCCAGATAGAGGCTATCAGCACTTATCTGCCCACCTATTCATCACCACATAAATCACATCCAATTTCCAAGCTTTAGAGTCTGCATGAGCAGCTGCTTTCCATCTGTATAAATAAATACACTTGTATTTGCAGCAATGCTGCATGAACCTTTATACATCACATTTGACATCCACCAAGAAGTTAAGACAAGAGAAAGGTTACAGGGATTCACAATGCCTATTACTGAAGAGAGTATTTTAAATTTTTGCCTGCCTGAGACCATGAACATGGTCATCACTGGCATCGTCTAGTTTGCCTTATGTGGTGGACACAGATGCAGTATTTAATAAACATTAAATAGAGATATTAATGCAAGTATTGCTGCAGGATATGAGCATAAAGCTACTGTATATTTTGGCAATTAAAAAGTAGCACATGATGGGGTTGCTATGGTATTTGCAAGCATGACAGTTTTATAAAGCAATACTGCAAATAGCAATAGAGCGTGTTATTCTCTGACCGTTTTTAAATGCTACAGATACTTACTACTTTGAAAACGGAAACAGCTTACTACATTCTGTTTCAGATATACATTTTCTGAAAAACCTATTGTGGGTTTTTTAAATCAGCTATCAGATTCTAAAAGATTATCATTAAGACTGCTGTTAAAGAGAAAGTAGCATGTTTTTAAGACAATAGAAAATGCAAGTGCAGAGCTTGCCTGGCACTGCTGGTTTTGATTGTTATAAATTGTTTATGCAGTGTCATTCCTTATTTTCATCAAACGCTTTTCTTGCAGTAGAGATCATGTGTGCATCAGCATGCAATTCTCCCTCTCTGGAGGGATGAGAATGTGCCGCAGTTTACTTTGCTCGGGTTACACTGCAGTATCTTTTTTATTTTTTTTTTTCAAGGCAAGCACTAGGATACGTCTGTTTCACTGTGCAACAGCTCCCACTGATCAGGAAGGAAAAATAAAATATGCTAAGTAACAGAGACTGCATGCTGTATCACACAGACAAAACCTAGCTCTGCTCAGAGAATGCAAGAGATCAGTACCATCCCCCACTGAAAACGATGTAGCTAATGCAGAGGTTTGTGAGCCATAAATATTCCTGCACTGCAGATATTTCAGATTGTTCTCCTAATGCATTATAGAGCTAGATAAGACTTTCTGAATATTTACTATAGAGTGAGTATCGTAAGAATTTTCTACGTCCAAAAAACCATTGCATTTTTAATAATACTTCATATTATTTATGACTATTTATGAAAATGAGAGAGATACTTTCATACGTGATTCTTTGAGAAGGCTGGGGCTGATTCATGGGTGCACCGAGAATTAAATGAATAATGTCTATTAACAAAAGTAAAGCTAAAACTATCTGTGGGATCAGTGCATCAGCACCCTTCAGCTATATTTTGGTAAGCTCAGATAAGTGTGGCAGTTCTTAACCAATGTGGTGCCAGCTCTGTATACAGGGCCACATGCCCTACAGCGTACAGAACCTAGACCCAAAAACTCTTAGTTCAGTCACAAAACTATTACCAGCAAAGGTATCCTTACACAAAAAGTTGAATTATGATGTTGTAGCTTCATTAGTTCACTAGAACAGAACAAGTACAAAATCTATAAATTCTCTGGAAAGCTATAAGCTATCCCCTGTGCCTGTAAACTGTGGATTTCTCGATTCTTTCTGTGGCTGAAGACACCAGACACAGCACCGTGATCATCTGGCAGGTGTTTGTGCCCTCTACTGGATGCAGTCAGGCTTAACTATTTATTAGAAATCCTATGCTGTTAACAGCCAGAGAAGAGATGCTCTTCTACCGAATCTGAGGTATTTATGGTATTCAGCAACATACATTTCTGCTTAAGAATAATACAAACAACCTCCAGAATGTGCTTCTGGCCTCTTCCCCTTGACATCCTTCCCCTTTGTATTTTCACATTTTTGTTATAGAGTCGAGTAAGACCAAGATTTAAAAAAATTCAGAACTTTCCCCATCTATTTCCTAATATAGTTTTTGGGGATTTGGTTTTCATTTGTTTTGTGTTTTTTCTTGGGGGGGGGAGGGTTGGTGGCATATTTATTCTATTGCTAGATTAAATACAATAAAATATACTTACATTCCTGGGTAGGTAAGAGAGAATAAAGAAAGGTCTTTTTCTGAGAAAATTTTAAGGGAGCCTTTCTTATTAATTTTTCATTCTCTGTGAACTAGGACAGTAACAGAGTGCAGTGTCCTCCTGTTCTAGGAATTTTGCTTAATAGTTTGCATACTGATATATATGACTGACTCATTACACTGAAACATCTGTCTTATATCAACATTAAAACCTGAATATATTTTATACCTGCAAGTTAAGGAGGAATACTGAAGGTTAACTGTGTCTTCCATAAAGGTAAATAACTTCCACATATATCAGAACATATAAAAGCATACATGTCTATTCAAATATATACACTTGAAATCTGCAAATATATTACTCTTGGTGCAAAGGACCAAAAGGTTTAGAATCAGAGTCAACAACAAAAAAAAAATGTATAGAGTGACTTAAGTTTGATTATGGTTTCAATAAACATAACAATGCTAGAAATTTTATAGGGTAAAATTATTTTATAAATGACCTCATATACTTCTGCACACTACCAAATTTGTAGAAAAATTCTTACATATTTCATGCTTAGTCCACATGGAATTTTTAACTATGTACCTATCCAGCACCGACTTGAAACAATTTTGTTTTCTAAACAGGAATTCAATACTTACCAAGATTTTATTAAGCATTTGCATCATTGCTTTGTGCAATTATTGTTAGCAACTAAGACATTAAAACAATAACTATTCTGGATTTAAAACAAAAAGTTTTAATTCAAATTAGATATAGTTACTAAAAACACATTATCCTTCAAAGCACAGTGTAATACTTGAGGTTTGAATAATACTTGAAGCTACCCTTCTCAAGAGAAATGAGAATGGAAAAAAGGGCATTACTCCATGCACTGGTCCACCTGCCCACACCCTGTCCCATATCCTGCTACCTGCATGGAGTCATGTCTTGCCAGGGACCATGCTTGATAGACTCAATAAAGGCATTGGTTCCTGAAGCGAGCTGTGGGGTAGCCATAACACCTCTAACAGGTCTTTTTCCTTTCTCTTGGCAAGAATGGGTTTCCAGAGGAGGAATGAGACTAAAGTGACACTGTTATCCCCCTGTGGAGCCTTTTCAGTGACAGATCCCAGACCACCCACCCCAGGGCGAGTAGTGTCTGCTGTATCCGCTGCTCAGCAAGATGGCAGAGGCATCCTCCATTGGACTTGGCCACCAGAGGACACCACTGGAGCTCTTCCTGGACAACTCGTAAAAAAAGTGACAAAACCCCACACAGTTGGAATGGGATTCTTTTCTGAATTCTAGAAAAACTTCGCTGGCCAGAAGAACTTAAGCATTTCATTTCAACTAGATGGTGACAAGTTAATATTGATCAAAGTCATAAAGCAACATGTGATCTAAATGTCTAAAAAACATTGCCTCATTGCAAGAGTGGTTCCCCCTTAATTTTACCAATAATTACTTGTTCATCTGTATAAACTTCATACAATAAAACCACAAAGACTAAACAAGTACGTAAAAAGGTTATCTTTATTCTTTCGGGTTGTTAGCAATGTAGTTATTTTTGGTAAAACAACTTCCTGCATGCAGTTCATCAGTACACTATGAGTCAATAGTTTCTATAAAAGCGGGAGCCCATCTATATTTTAGTTCTTTTGTAAGAAATGCAAGGTATTCTATTGTCCATTGCACAAGCTCACTATTCATTCTCATGAAGAAAGACTATGAATAACAAATGATATGTAAAGCGCTTCTGCTGCAGTATGAATCAACAAGAAAAGCAGACAGTGTGAGACTAACACCAGCGAAAAGCAATGTTTCTATGAGTAAGATTAAGCTGAAAATTGACAGACAGGACTATAATTTCAAAAGAAACCCTTCCATCTTGTTTCACATACAAGGACCTACCTACTGATCAGAAAAAGAACTGTACTGCCCATTTCTTTTAAAATTATTCCTTATTAAAATATGTTCAATATAATTAGCAGAAACTCATGATTACCAATTCACATTGTATCTTAGATTTTCCAACAGTAAAGTGTCAGAGAGATAGTCATAAGAATTACTAACAACATGAAGATATGTGTAGTTTCTTATAATAAGTATAAAATATTATAAAATAAAATTATTTTCCAAATAACAGGAATAGATTAATAGATATTATAAAATTTTTTTTTCTAGCCCCACATATTAAGCAAATATATTATCCTGTGTGTTCTGGTTATTTACTGCATATTTGCTGTTTACAAAACTCAAACAAAATAAAATCTGTAATAGCAGCAAACTATTGCTTACTGGTATGAGGAATGATGGTCTCGTCGAACAGTTTTTTTCTTTTTACCACTCACATGTCTTCCCATCTTAGACTTTAATAGCTGTAGAATAATAGCAGCAAGCATGCATTAGTTAAAGCTTCCCAATTATTTGGAGCATTACAGAATATATCATATCATCTATTGAAATGTTATAAGCTACACTTACTAGGGTACATATTTGATGCAATAAATACACTACTTAGGTCATTCTCAGTTTGTTCAACCAGGTATCACTGTGTAAAACAATTAATTAAATAGCACAGGATATTTAACTTACAGTCAGTCTTGATGATAAAAATAAGTCATCCGAACCACAATGCAGGACACAGCTGATTTAAGTACGTCTTTTTGGTCGTCTCAGCTTTCTATGGAAGATTGCATTTCATACAGTGGAAACCTGACTAAAGTGCCATGGGGGGGTCAAAACCATCTCTGATGTACATATTTGTGTCTCTGGCATGACCCATCCTTCCAAAGTATGGAAATTTAAGCCTGAGGTACACATTAAGGTAGGATTTGTCCCAAAAGGTACTCTGCTATCAATTTATACACATAGCTTTGATTATTGTCTTAAGTGGGCTACATTCATATGAAATAAGAAGTGTGGAAACAAATTTTGGAATGAAATATGGAAGGTCCTCATGAAATTACAGGGTCTACATTTAAAAAAAAGAAAAAAGACTGCCACTTCTTTTTATTTCAGTAATTCCTTGTAGGCACGATTCAGCGTTCACAGCTTTTCCATAAAAACGGTTTAAATCTCTCAGGAATTACAAGATATTTTGGATCATGAAATTAGTAGGGTTTTTTTCATAGTTTCATCATTTGTTTAAAACACTGTACCTGAAATGAACTGCATAATAAATTTAGAATTACTAAAAGGTATTAAACGTAAGTATATTAAAACCAAGAGACTAAACTACCAACCTCTTTTCTGCAAAAATGATTCCCTTGTTTTTGTTTTCTGATAAATTCTCTATCTACACTCTGATCTTTTTTATCACTTCCTCTTGATTTAATCTAGATCCTGAGGTTCAATAATCTGGAATCTTGTTTTTCTGCTTTTAGAAATGGCTTGAAGAGAACTGTGTTCACGTTATGATGCCGTAATGATGTATTCCTGACATTTGTGTTCCTCTGAAGAGTATGCAGTTATTTCCTCAGCACAGCAGAATTACAAATAGCAGTATGTGAATTAAAGCAAATGAGATCATGAAAGAAATTGACACACATTGAACATACATAGGAGATGAAATGTACAGTGGATACACTTATTCCACAGAAATACAGACTTATTAGGACTGGTAATTTTGCACTCCATTAAGGGTTCCTTCAGTCCAAGTAGAAATTCTGTGTCTCCTCTGCATTAGTGCCAGTTGATAATAAAAACTATTCTTCTGGCAAGGGTGTTTACCTGTTACACACTGAGAGCTTGCTAGTGAAGGGTCATTGTCTTGGTATAGGCACTGACTGTAGCAGTGTGTAAATATGTAAAAACTTGTAATTTTGGCATAATCCTCCAATAAGACTGCTATTGATAAAAACGTCATCGTCTCAGGCTTGTGAACATTCATCATAGAAAGCTTCTTTATGTCTTTTTATTTCCTTTGCTGTCTTTCCCTTTGTCTTCTTTTTCTGCTTTGTCATCTTTATATTTTTCTTTATCTGGGTTTGTTACACTGTCATAAGAAGGTGGAGATGCAGCGGATGCAGACATATCCATTTTCTCAGGAGATGAGTTTTCACTTAGCTTACCAATAGTAATATCTTTTTCAATAAGTAGATCAACCCCATCTTTGCGATACATAAATGAAAGTTTCTTTACTGACTGTCTTAAAAGATAACGTCTGTAAGCACGCTGAATTATAGTAGCTGACACTTCCTCCTGTTTCCTTTTTAATGTGGTTGTAATTGGTTCATAGGAGACTTTAGAAGGATTGGCTGCCATAAACCGATCTTCCATCTGTATTCTGAGGGCATCCATCTCATCGCTTTCCCCCAAAACACGCTTTGTGAAAGCAAACAAGATGTCAAGGCAGTGAATTCTGTCGCCGCTTACCATGGGCAGATCCATTGCAATAAGCTGAATTGTGTTTGGTTTTGGTATATTAAGAGGAGGATCCAGAGAAGCTGCAAAATCAGACAATTTGCTGTATTCTATGAATTGTGTTGCATCAGGGTCATATTTTTCCCAAACTTCATAGAACATCTCAAAGTCATCCTCGCTCAAGGGTTCAGCACTTTCTTCAGTAGCAACACTGAAGTTCTCCAAAATCACAGCAATGTACATGTTCACCACTACCAGAAATGATATGATAATGTAGCTGACAAAGAAGAAAATCCCAACAGAAGGGTTGCCACAGTCGCCTTTCACAGAGCTCCCCGGATGATCTTTATGGGGGTCGCAGTCTGGCTCCCCACTGTTAAGAATTGGGGCCAGCAAACCATCCCAGCCAGCAGATGTGGTGATTTGAAAGAGGCAGATCATGCTGTTGCCAAACGTTTCAAAGTTGAACATGTCATCAATCCCAGCTTCCCTCTTAACGTAGGCAAAGTTGGACATGCCAAAGATGGCATAGATAAACATGACCAGGAAGAGCAGCAGACCAATGTTGAACAAAGCAGGAAGAGACATCATCAAAGCAAAAAGCAGAGTGCGGATTCCCTTGGCGCCTTTAATGAGACGCAGGATTCGACCGATTCTGGCGAGTCGTACAACTCTGAACAAAGTAGGGGACACAAAGTACTTTTCAATCACCTTAGCTAGAAACATACCTGTGAAGGATAAAAATAAAATGGTAACGTTTTATCATAGATTACATTTTCCACAACAAAATATGTATAAAGAACAACTCTACCTGTGGACTTAGTGGAAATTATAATTGGAGTTAAATTTTATCTGTTATACATAATTTTAGTTTTTTTTTTTCCTAAGAATGTTGGGAAAAGGTCTATTAAAATTGACACAGCATTATTAAAAGTATGGTTTCCATTTCCTATATAATCAGAAGAAATTAAAATTAAGTATTTCCTCTAATCTGCAAAACCTGTCAGAGATAAGGCATTTTATACATCTTACTATATTTCATTTGGAATATAAGAATTTCTTACCTACTATTGAAAGAATAACAACCACAAAATCAAAAATATTCCAGCCAATGGTGAAGTAATAATAGCGGAGTGAGAACATTTTTAAGACACATTCTCCAGTGAAAAGGACAACAAAGACCAAGTTAATCCAGTATAAAATGTTTTGCATCAGTTCACTCTGGTCATCTGTTTCTATCATCATGGTGACCATGTTAAGGCAGATGAGAACCATAATGGTGATGTCAAAGGCTTGCTTTGTTACAATATCAAACACCAGACCTTGCAATTTGTTCTGAGGAGAGAAAAAAGAAAAGGTAATAGTATCTTTTATGTAATGAACATCCCCTTTTCCTCCCTCCTATTTCCTTCTTCCTCCCCAAAAATATACAACCAAGCAAAAGGCTAAAAAATGTAAGGAAAGCATTGCCGAGTAACTTCTTTATTTGCCAGCTGTAAATTTTCCCCTCAGAACCCAACAGACTTCTATTTCTTCAGATTCTTGGATTCTCTACTTCCTCAGGCATAACAAATATGAAAGACTTTTCCTGCAGAACAGAAATATGTACGTTTCAATTGAGAATGAAGGGCTAACTTGAAATAGGCCTCAACTATTTTAGGGTTAAGGGAGAAATTTTTTGATAGTTAATATACTGCTGCTATTTCTTCCCAAATGCAGATGATAAAAGAATAGCACATATTCTTACCGCTGGTCTAGGTATAGGTTTTTGTGGTTTCTTGGATCCCAGCTTCTTCATTGCATTATAGTATTTCTTTTGTTCTTCTGTCATGAAAATGTCTTGACCTCCAAGGTAAAATAATAAAAACAGAACTAATTACAGCCAAGCTTTTAAATCCATTAATTCACAGTATTGCAGAACACGTTTTTTTTATGAACTATGTATTCATTCTTACACATTGTTACCAAAACCAAAATATAGTAATTATATGAACAATTGTTAAAATATCTGACAAGTCTCAATGGAAAAATAAAACAAATGTAAAAATGGAGAAAAGCCCCATAACTTCTATCTGTTATTAAAAAAAAAACAAACAACATACCTGATTAATTCAATTAAATACATAAAAACCCTTCTAAAGTATACGTTCCATACATACTTATAAATCTAATATCATAAACTCCACACTCCAAATCAATCAACCAGAAATAAAAAAAGCTTCAAGGGTAGAAAGATTCACTGAGAGCTGATATGCCTACAGGGAAACCATATGAAGAAAAAGAAATTACTGATATTACTTTTCAGGATGCACGTTTTATCATATAAGTACAGGTATCTCAGTTCAGACGGTTTTTTACTCCAGTAGTACTTCCACAGTTTCATGTGGCTTGATCATCCCCTTACACTGTTCAGAGACTATCAGAAGCTTGGCCTTACCCTGGGGTTTCTTGCCTGAATAAAAGGACAGTTCAATGACTTGGATGAGGGAAGGAGTGTACCCTCAGCAAATTTGCTGATGATACAAAACTGGGAGGGGTGGCTGACACACCAGAAGGCTGTGCCGCCATACAGCGAGACCTGGACATTCATATCACAACAACATTGCCCAAAATGGAGAGATCTCAATAACATGAATGCAGAACAAAGACAAGAAAAATACTTCTGGGTAGTTATGCACTGTGTGATCTGTACATTTCTATGAGCATGGGTCCATCTATAATTTCAAAAGACAGGTGGCTAATGCTTGCTTATCGACTATATGAAACTGAAAATATCAACAGGTTCAGAATCACAAATTCATCCTTTCTTCTATGTGGGTCTGCAGACAAGAGACTCAAAGGATCTGAAAAAGCATCATATAAAACTGCATATTCCAATCTCAAGTGGAAAGATTTAGTAAAAGTTTCCACTGCAGTAAGTTTAGCATTATCTTTTTCAGTGCAATGAATCAAACTTGACAAACCATCTAGAAACAAAAATGAAAAAATTATGTACTGCCTTACTATTATTTAGCTCACATTAAAAAAAAATAAAATATCAATATTCCAGTATGATTCTTCTCCAAGTGTGTATAGAAAAATAAAACTACTGCAGACTTTAGACAGCATTTATAGCTTAAATAGCAAGTAGAATCTAATTTGCTAACATAATTTGCCATTCTTGACATAATCCTGTGTTCACCTGAATCACAGAAACAATTTCAGTTGAAACACATTTTCAAACATCAACAATTTTCTTTTCCTTGCAAATTCTCAACTCGTGAGACAGTTTCTCAGTCCTCTCTAATCTTACAATACAGAGCAGTAGTTCCAGTATTCAACTTGTCTGTATTAGTCTCTTTGTAATTGAGAGACCTTCATAATATTGCTATACATTATCTGTTTATCAATTTTGATATTTGTAATTTTGCATATTGTCTTCTTCCCTCTCATCTGTTCGCTTGAATTAAGTCATCTGCATTTTCACATAGCTTTGTCAAAGCACTGTAAGGGTAAGAAAAAAACAATACATAACTTTCTGCTGTACAACATATCATTGGGCTGTACAGGCATGTGGAGAACACTCAGATACTCAGTGTAAGCTTAAATTACTTCAAATGGCTTAAAAAAGCAAAGATTATTATTTCATTATTTTGAATAAAAGGAAATCTTAATAGCTGTTTTCTTTCTATTACTATGAGAAATTTCAGACATTCATATTTACCCTTTCAGACATTTGCTGAATGCTTAGTAAAAATGAAGTGTTGGGAAAATGAAACATGATACTTATCTTCTTTTTTTGTTGGTTGAAGTTATCTATGATGACACCAATGAACAAATTTAAGGTGAAAAACGATCCAAAGATGATAAAGGCAACAAAGTAAATATACATGTACAGGTTGTCCTCATACTTGGGCTGTTGCCCTGTCTATGCAACATAGAAAAACAGCAATACATTAAAAATAACAGTTAAGATAAGTTATAGAATACTGAGCACAAACAGAAGTTGCATCCAGCTGGACAGCAACTCCTTGACAAGCAGGGAAAACCAGCCATTTTGGAGCATACCCTCGACTTGCCTTATCTTTGAATTTGAAAATCTACTTAATAGAGGTGTCTATAATTGCACACACAGACCTATCATTCCTCCCCCTTCTGTCTGACAGTTCCTCTCTAATGACATTTGATATTTCATGTAATTCCTACGAAATATGACCGAAGTAGGCCACTCAAAAGCAATTCAACTCCTATGGAATTTATGCAATTCAGGAGCTGGATAGAAGAGATGCAAACAAATACTGTCATTAACAGAAGAACAGGCAAAATTCAGCCATTTTATTTTTTGAGACTGCCAGAGTCTGCATCTCTGGATTAACTATTGCAGGGGTTGGTTATTAGGATTATTTTTGGAGAAACAGGAAAAGCTTCTTTCCTAATCTGCATGACTTCCATAACATAAACCAACAGGAATCAAGATTTCATTAGTTTTTCATTTGCAGATGACTTATTAAACTAGTAATACCTTATGTAGATCTATTACTATAATTTTTTTACCTATTAAAAGTATATGTACTTCCTTATAATACATAGATCTGTATAGAAAATTTATCAAGGTTTTACATTTTTATTATTTCCATTTCACTATTTCAACTGCCATTCAAGAATCATTACATCAATCATATTGTTTCAGTCAGTAAATTTTATATTGCACTCACTTCTCTAGAATCAACTGCAGCGTACATGATATCCGTCCATCCTTTAAATGTTGCCTAAAAACAAAGTTAGTTAATATTTTCTATCAAAGCTCCATAAACATTCTAAATAAAACACTGTCTTCTGCAATATATTTGCATCCACAAAAATAAAGAGGAATAGTAAGTCTGGTAAGACACATGTGAAGTGTTCACAGGAAGTAATTTACAGTGGAATACTCCTCCCTAATACTTAAGCAATGCATAAATTCTAATCTTCATGCAAATTCATATAATTCTATGTGAGATGAGCTGCAATCAATATCTGAGCATAACAGAAAGACTGCAATTTATAACAAGGCTCTCAGTTCTAACTTTCTTACTACCAAAAAACTGGAGGATGACTCCAAAATTAACCATCATGGGTTGGCATTTTTCTGACAGAATATGCAAGCAGTTCTAATAGAAACTCTAGAAGGTAAGTAGTCCCAAGAAATCTTAAGAAAATAATAGAATCATAGAATGATTTGGCTTGGAAGGGACCTTTAGAGATTATCTAGTCTAATCCCTCTGCCGTGGACAGGGACATCTTTCACTACATCACATGCTTCCAATGATGGGGCATCCACTTCTCTGGGCAACCTCTTCCAGTGTCTCACCACCTTACCATTAAAAAAAAATAATTTTTCTTTATATTCAATCAAAATCTACCCTCTTTCAGTTTAAAACTGTTGCCCTTTGTCCTGTCACATCAGGCTTTGGTAAACATTTTTTCTCCATCTTTCTTATAAGACCCCGTTATATATTGAAAGGCCACAATAAGGTCCCCAGAGCTTTCTCTTCTCCAGCCTGAACAACCCCAACTCACTCAGCCTTTCTTTGTAATTTCTTTTGACTGGTCCTCTGAGTAGGACTTATAAGAATAACAAAAATGGAAAGAAAAAGTGAATTGAAAAACATTTTCAAAATCCACAGTTGGCATTGCTTTTGTTGGCAGATCAGATGAACCCTGGAATGTATTTATTTGACTACCATAGAAAAAAAAAAATCTAAGTCAACCTGCCTTAACAGATCAAGCAAATAAAAGAAATTTAATCCTAACTGCATTTTTTTTGTTTACTAGATACTGTATTTCTGTAGAACTTGAAAAGGTACTAGCAGTTGGGTGCGAAGGAACTTTTTGTCCAACTGGTAGATACCAAGTATTCCTCCTCTTCCAAAATGGCTATAGAATATATCCGATTTTTACCATACGCCAAAAAAAAAAAAAAAAATCAGAGAAAACAATTATAAAATCAAATCTCATATCCATTTATATATTGTAAAATAACACTGAAAATTACAGAATTAAGTATTACTGCTACAAAAGTTAATAGTGGAAAATTAATTTATCAAAATTGATACACTTACTACTTGAAGCAGAGAAAGATAACCAGCTCCAACATTATCAAAGTTTACTTTCACATTTTTCCACTGAGCATCCCCAGAAGTGATCGTAAGGTTTTTACACACAGTTACATTAGTGACTTCCTCTGGTGGGAATTGCTCACCAGTTGTGGTGTTAACACAGCGATAGAACTTGCCAGCAAACAAATTTACTCCCATAATGCTGAAAACTAGCCAGAATGTAAGACAAACCAGAAGTACATTCATAATGGATGGGATTGCTCCAGTAAGAGCATTCACAACCACCTAGTAAATAAACACAGAAAAAAACCTTTTTAAAAACAACATGTAGAACAGCAAAAAGATTACCTTTTTTTTTTTTTCCAAATATAGCAAAAGATTTAATGTAAAATAGTAAAATACACTGAATTAAAGCCAACAGAAAAGGAGTAACACATGCAATACAATCAAACATGTTACTGTTGGCCTTGAAAACAGTCATGCAGTTCAGGGTTCCTCTGTGACTTTATAATTAGGTGCATTTTTATGGATTTGTTTTATATTTCTTTTTTTCTTACCCTCATGCCTTCAAAGCGTGACAAAGCTCTTAGAGGTCTCAAAGCTCTTAATGTTCGGAGGGATTTAATTGCACTGAGTTCTGACAAACCAAGCGCATGAGCTACTAAGCTAACCAAGGAGACCTAGAAGAAACAAAACACAACAAAACAAAATAACTTTTTTTTTAATAGCCTAAAAATAGAAACGTAATTCCTAGAGGAATAAAACTTTTATCTGGATATCAGGAAAAAAGTTCATAAGGACTTTAAGTTTCTAGCAAGAACAAATAAAAAAGAATGAAAAAAAAAAATCAATAGAACATTGCATGTAGATTTCAGAACAGTTTAAACAACAAGAGACCTTAATCTCTGCAATTTTCATCAAAGAGAGAGTACTACTTAGGAGAATCCACATCATACCTGTGCAAAATTAAGGGCAATTTAAATAAAAAGAATTTGAATAGAAGCTCACGTTCTCAATAAACTCAGCCAAAGCCTGAAATGTACTGAAAACCTAAACCCATTCTATATGACACATTACAATACTGAAGTGTTCTACTACAGATTTGCTATTATAGTCACGATAAAAAGTGAGCAGGCAGGACTTATTTCTGCTATTTTGCACATATTAGCAGATGTATGAATAACTAGTAATTCGTATTGCCTGAGCATGACGACAGACTTGAAAGTGGCATATACTCAGTCAGACAGGACTCTGACGTGTGACTCCTAACTATGTGACAGACAGAAAGAAATACCAATGTCAATATAATTACCTAAAATCAATGCACTCAAATGCATGGAACAGTAGACAGCACTTTCCTGGGAAGTGAAGTTATAACGGAGTTAATAATTTAATTGTTAGCTATGACTTCTTGTCTTTTCAGAATACTTCAATCTGGATATTTAAAAATCATAATATCAAGTACCAGAAGAAAATCTATGTTTAACCCCTATTTGGCAAAGAGCCCTGCTTCTGGTGTTTGAAGTTCAAAACCGAAGTTAAGAATTCTAAGTCCAAGAATGAACAAGAAGCTGGCAGATGTGTTTCAGAGTTATCTGCTTTAGAGTATCAAAATGGGTTAAACAATGGCATATCATAAAATAGATAGACAATGAGGAGAAAATGGCTAACTTTTTGTGTCATTAAACGTAGCATGCAAATTTTTAATAAAATCAGGGGTGATTTTAAAAAATCAAGACACTTTTTTTTTTTTTTTTAAATCACATGAACTAGATAAAACCAAATTAACTCAGGGAACCCAATATCTGTGCAATATATGAAATATGAGTCAGGGATCACCACAGTGCCTTATCATGAATAACTATATACTTGTATTTATGAAATAAAGCATCTAAAACTTTACATAATTCAGCTGCTGAGGTAACTACAATTAGACCACATAGTTCAAGAGAAGAAAGTTTCATTAAAAAAAGGGGAAAAGAAAACAAGAAGATCCAGAAAAAGAACACATTCATTGAGTGGAATGACCTTTGTTTATGCCACTTGTCTCATTTCCTACACAAATTCAACTGTCATACTTAAGTGTCAAAAAGACTGTTCCTTCTTTAAATTCAAATACTAGACAAACACTTATCACAGAAAGCATTAATCCATATGAATCCATCAAGATCTTAAGATCATTATGTGCTATTTTTATAATTCTAGAGAAGATATAGAGAAAATCTGTTTCAAGTATTCCTGTCAGATAACAACAGTATTTTCTTAAAAAGTGCAGTTATGATATCTGCATGTTTGCATTGCAAGAAATCCTCTTCCTGCAAGATTACCACATCTCTATTTAATGATGTAATAGTTTTATCTTTCTTTGGAAACTAAAGTACAATTTAGTACATTGCCTTTTTCTGCTTTCTTTTTTGGAGGGGAGAAAGGAAAGTTCAATCTTACCACATGTTGCTGATGGCAATTACATCTTAAAATTTTTGTTACAATTTGTGGATGTGTGTGCGTGTGCATACTTTTTTCTTTCTTGTTTTTCTTTTTTTTTTTTCCAAATAAATTATTTCCCTTCTTCCTTATGTATGATCATGGTTTAAACAATTCCTGATACTCTGAACTTTCTTCCACATACAAAAGTGCTAACTGTAACATTTCTGTGATGTAATATTAATTATATACTTTCACCAACACAGTAAATTCAAAAGGTGTGTTGCAACAAAAAAGGGGAAAATGTAAAACCAGACTGTAATGATACACATGAGACAGAATCCATTCTCAACTTAATTTCAACTTTCTGTTCCATAACTACCAAATAGAATATTTGTAGAAAAAACACACTGTTAATGTAAACCCGAAACATCCTACTTTGGATTTGTTAAACTGCTTGTGTTTTGGACAATTAATGTGCCTTGAGATTTATTTCCACTTTTAACATAATTACTCTTGTGGAAGAAGAATTTTTGAAACTTTCAGTACAGCTGTATTAACAGCTCAAAACCTGATTGTCCTGCTGTTTCTGGTGAGAGTCAGTGACTGAATCTTGTCCTTTCTCCTGTTGCATTTACACGAGGAAGCCTTATGCAGATTTCTTTCCTCTAAGGGTACTTCAAGCAAGCTGTTGAACACTACATGAGTGTTTGTTCTTTTCTGTGTATAACAGAACTTGCACGTGGAGGGCTGTACTTGTTTTGGGGCTAATTATCCTTTTCAGGAAACACTGTGAACGCCACAGTTAGTAAGAATTTTTGTTTGTATGCTCTAAGTTCTCAGCCAGAGTTAGATCAATGGATATAGAACAGTTTACCTAAAAAGATCCTGTTAAGTGTTGCCTCACTGTGTAACACTTAGACTGGTATTGGTATGGCAAATTTGTTCTATGTTTAGCTGGATAAGGCATAGGACAGGAAGCTAAAGCAGAAATAGGAAAATGGGTAAAACGCCAGCAGGAGAAGAAAGAGTTAAAGTTGCTTGCTATTAGGTGAAAATAGTAACAAGTAATTCCAGCAGTAAACTGAGAAAACGCTAAGCAGAGCATGATTGACTTTTTCAAGGAATGGGCAGGGGTGGGGCAGAGCAGTAGGTTTCCAATACAGATGGTCAAACACTGGAAACAGATTGCCAAGTAAAGCAGCAGAATCTCCATTCAAAACTGGGTATCACCCTGAGCAATCTAATCAAAGGTTAGAGCTAATTTCTAAACTGCTCTGGCTTTCAGCAAGGTGCTAGACCAGAAAAACTCCAAAGGTGCCTTCCAACCTAAATTATTGTATGATCTGCTGCTATAGGGTCATAAGCTATAGGCATTCCAACCAAGAGAAGATGGTGGCTACATGAGAGCACAGAAATCACTGTTAAAAGGAATAGCTCATACCTATCCATATGGAGATACGGCACAATTTACTAAGAATTTATCTTAAACATAATTCAAGATCAACCTTTCACAATACAAGTTTGTACAGAGATACTAATTCTGAATGCTTCTTAAATGGTAACACATCTATTTATTTATTTATTTATTTTCATTCATTTCCACAAATGACAACTCTAATGGACACATAGAAATGCAAATGTAAGTATCACAAGAGGCTGGAAATAAACTGTCTTGGAATCCTAACAGGAAATGAGACTAAAGCATGGCATCAAAAATTCTATGCAAAGATGACAAAGTTAATCTGGATGATTGCTGCTGATTTCCCATTAAAAAATTTTCACACTTTTTTAACTAAAATTTGAGTACCAATGAAAAAAAAAAATCCAACCAGAAGTCTATAGCACCCATAAAGAAAGCAAATATTAAAAAAATATATTTTTTTTCAGGCTCACTGAATTCAGCTTCCAAAAATGAATCGCTATAAAGTCATGTATCAATGAAAAGTGGAAAAGTTGCACAGAAGTTAGCCTTGCAGCCTAGTACACAGCGAGTGCCATTACAATCAAAATGAGGATTGCAAATAAGTGATGCCACCTTTTTATACTGATCCACAGGCCATCACTTTTCATTTTCCTCAGTCCTTCCCTTTACTGCAATTGCTACTTCTTTGCCCCAATTTCTCTTCTTTTACTGTAGCCTTGATTTCCTGATACTATGCTCCCCTGCATTTTGCCAGTGATTCATTAAGCCCAGGATCAACTGTCCTACCTCAAACCCATGTGCTCACTTAAATTTCCCTTTCCTTTCTGCTTTTTCCTTATTCTCTGTCACCAAATCCAGAAGACTGAAATTCAATCAGCTGGTTGAATCACACTGGCTGGGACCCAGCACAGTAAGACACTGACAGAACACACGGAATCAATCATAGCATAAACATAAAGGCATATTTAGTTACTCACTGAATAACTACAATGGAATCATGTTCACTGGTATGTCATTCCCTGTTCTTTTAAATGCAACTTATATTCTTCACTGTATATATATATATATGTATCAGATTGGAGTTACATAAAAGGACCTGCCTCAACAACAGAAACAGGCTACTTAGAAAGTATGGTACCTACATCAACAATCAGGAAGTCCAGCCAGCACCAAGCATTAGTGAAATAAGTTTGAAAACCATAGGCCACCCATTTTAGCACCATTTCCAGAATAAAGATGTAAGTGAAGATTTTATCAGCATATTCCAGTATGGTTTTTATAGTCTTGCGTTGTTCAATGTATATATCTTCAAAAGCCTGTGAAAAATGAGTTGCATATAAGTTAGTTATTCATAGGTCTTTGCAAACTACAAATTAAGCCAAAAGAACTGAATTAAAAAGGCAAAGTGAAATAATTCTCAACTGAGCCCATTGGTGAAGCTGGTGGTGGCTCTGGGAAAACATACTTACGAAAGGGCAAAACACTGCATAGCAGTATGAGGACTGAAAAAAAAAGTGAGAGAAACTACCCTGCAAATATCAAGGTCAGAGAAAAAGGAAAGAACATGGTCCTTCAGGTGCTGGAGCAGAGATAATGACAGTATATACTAAATCCTATGTCAATCAACAACCAAAAAGAACCCAAAACTTATTAGCTGTGCGAAGGACTATATGTCACTGAGAATAGTATAAAGGAATTAAAGGATTTCTATGTGACAGTGTAGAAATACTGCAACTAAAACTAAAGCAAAAAATTAAGAGAACATGATGAATTCACCATCTGTACTGCTTTTGAGGACAATTTTAATTTGAAGTAAAATAACTGTTTCAGTTATTGCATACAACTATTTTGTATGATTTAAAAAATTTCTTCAACAAGATTTTTAGTGTAATTCTTCTGATAAACACATTCATACACACATATCACCTTTTATTCATCAAAAATTCATCTGCAGAATGTTATTTGACAGCAGAATTTTAATTATTTATTTTATAGGCGCTCCCCAAAATATTCTAGGAATTTAGTTCCAAACTCTCTTTCAAGTTAACCTTGTACTTTTTTCTTAATGAGCACAGATGTGTTATAATACTATATTTGATAAAATATTTTTATAGCTACTGTTTCTATAGGTGTATGCTCTACTTACCAGAGCACCACTACTGAGAAGAATCATAAAGACAATGAATGTCTCAAACCAGTTGTGTTCTACTATCTTGTAGCAGGTTTTTCGAAGATTCCACCAGATTCTTCCTTTTGTGCTTTCCATACTGCCTTTACAGCATTTAAACTTCCGTATACAGCCTAATAATACAAACAATGAAAAATTGTTATGCAGTAGATTTTTCATTATCATGAAAAAGCAAAATCACTTTTAACTAGCTCCTGCTTCATGAGGTAGTCTGAGCTTCAAGTATGCTACTTAAAGCATCTTTACCTTCTCTATTTGATACTTCAGATATAGGAAAACTTGCATGTACACAATTTTTCTATTACCTTCAAGCTACATCAAGGTTAGAATCAAAAGGAGTTATCTGAGATAATTTTAATTTATAAAAAAACTTTTAAAAATTATTTTTCACTGATCTATAGATCATCAGAGAACATACGAGAATTGTCAGGGAGCAGAAACAAAGAGCATAAACACAAAGCAACTTTCACAGGAACTGGTTCAAGAGTACAGCAGCTTCTTGTACTTTTGTCTCTCAGCTAAAGTTCAAATAAATCGCACAGATGTAAACACCCTTTATTTTATTATACTGAGGAATAACCTCTGCTTTAAGGGCTGACTAAGGATAGCTCTTTCATGACATGAACAACTAATTTAACTGGAGATTGTGACAGGTTCCCTGTGTGGTAGAGGTTTATGGCAACCATTCCCAGGATTCTTCCTCACCTTGGAGAGCTGCCTGCCTCATCCTGGGGCCTCAAGGCACAGTTCTACAGTTCTCAACGAACCTCAGTATCTGCCTGGCTAATAGTTATCACATGATTCTGGTTTAAATTTCTCAGTGGAGTGAACCTGGTGTAGGGTTTGGTCTTGCAGATTTCACTACTGAGGTCACTTTAACCAACAGGATTACCGATTGCTGAGAATCAGTTTATAGAATTGTCCATAGTGTTTATTTTAAAATACAATAAATGATCACATACACACATATTTAACTTTTTGTCACAAAAATGGCTCCATAGACTTCAGTACAACTATCTACAACAGACAAAATTAATCATATCACAAGACTTGACAAACTAGGATCTGGGACTGCACTGACAGATAGCTTCCTTGAACTACGAACGTTTGTTGCAAACAACCAAAAAGTAATTGCTAATCCCGAATTTTATTTCCATACCTTCTGTAAAGCATGCCTGTACCTCTGATGCTTTTTCTGGTTCAGTTTCAGCTTTTTCTTCTCCAAAGAGAGCCAAATTAACTGTACTTCCTTCAGATGAGCTGGAAAAGTTTAGCTTCTGAAAATAAAATTCGGTACCAGTTATACTTCACTAATATTTACATTTTTAGAACTGTAATTAAATTTAAGCATGCAACACTGTGTGCAAATAATAATAAGAACAACATTTGTCACCAGAAATACACACAAACATTCACACATAGCAGTCAATGCTGTTGAAATGTGCATAAATCATCCACTTTCTACCTAGAGATTGCAAGGCGTATCATGTGTCTTTCAGGGAATTTCAGAATTTCTGATCTAAATATAGTACAGTGTTATAATTCATCCAAGTTTACTACTACCGAGTAGATCTTCTGATACATATTCTATTTATTTTTCTTTCTACTATTATTTTCTTACTATAATTTCTCTTCCTACATTTTAAACCAATACCAGTTATACTATATGCTTTAAGATCGTGTATGTTGGTAGCCCACGGGCAGGGACACCTTTCACTAGACTAGGACAATTTAGTAATTTTTCATTTTAAGATAATTCTTACGATCTAGATTGGAAAATGCTAAAGTAAAATCAGAATTAATAAGAAACATTGTTTCAGATATGAATTTGAACATTACTCTCAACACATACATAAAACAAATTAAGCCTGTTCTATCTTAACCCATAATTATCAGTACCATATGAACACTTTTTATGCTTTTTCATATATACTGATAAGTTTCAAAAAGGAAAAAGTATGATAAATACATTTCAACTGGCATTAATTTGCATTCTTTTTTGCCAATGCACATGTGTATTACATTGTGCATTCTGAAACTACCCATTACTCTGGTACACATACCTGTACAGTGAACACCCAGAAAGAAAGAATCTTTTTTGTTTTGTTTTAATAATTAAAATTACATAGCTCACATTAATATGAAAAAAATACTACTAAAATGATAACCCTTAATTTATTTTTGATTTTTTAATCTGCATGTATATTGCAAATATCCACAGCCTGAAGATTTTAAAGGAAGATACGGTGTCCTGTACGCTTAATCTGAGTATGAGTACCAAACTAAGTCAAAGCAGTTTTGGTCACAGCATTCTCTGACATTTTACAATGTTATTATCAAGAAGTAAATAACATCAGTAATGAATTCACACAACTAAATGCCTGTAGGGAATGATGTAAGCATACTTTGTAAAAAAGCCTCAGTTTTCATTAATTTAGCTAGACTGGCACACTAAAAAGACATTTAAGATATAAAAGCAGGGAAGTTACAGGCACTAGCCAATCAAGCCATATTTACACCTCAATTGCAAAATGTGAAAATACAATTTTTTTTTAATTATTAAACGATTTTTGGGCTATGTTTGTGAAAGAAGACAGAGACAGTTTAATAAGAAAAAGTAACCCAGTGTTCTGCGTTAACTTTCATTAAAAATGGTTCAATGATATTGCCTACTTTGGTGCTACCTTAGAAACCAATTATCTGAAACAGAACCCCCAAATTACTCATACTTAATGTAAACACCTCTTTTCATTTTTAGTAGCATTAATTTTAAAATATCACTATTCACAGCATTTTTTCCTATCACTAATTCTACTGAACCTAAGGATAGCACAATAGACATCCATCATTTTATTAACATGCTGCTTTCATCATTCCATGACATAGCACACATATTGCAAAATGTTGCAGCAGTGGTGGGTAAACTGAAATAATGAATTATGAATCAAATTACTAATTTTAAAAATGTGGGTTTTTTAAGAGTAAGGAAGTGTTATGTCATATTGCTAATTAAAATGAAAACCAACATGAAGTACCCTTGGTCATTTGAACTATAAGCTACTTAGTACACTGCTTGAGCAGATGACAAAATCAAGTGAAAGAATACAGGTTTTTATGAATTAACAACATTAAAAGATGAACAACCATAAATGGAAAAGAAACTGAAAAGAATCAGTTTGTTTTAAACATGAAGTTATATATCTCACTTAATATACGGTAGAAGTATCAGAGATTAAAGGGTTTTTTTTATTGTTAGTTAAGCAAGTTAATTTCCATGACTCTAAGAAATAAAATTAGAGGCTCAGTGACATGTTTCGATATAAAGGACAGGTAGCGTGGTTCTCTCTTTCTTCTAACTACAGTGTAGGACATAATTCTGTGCTTGAAGAGTTACAGATTTAATTAAACTTTGGTTCTCTTTTTCATGTGGGGTGCTCATATTATTCACCAAGATGAAGGTACCAAGCAATAGGATGGCATGGTAACATGACAGTACAAAGTAATATGCATAGAAGAGTCTCCTGTTCTAATTAAAAATTCAGTCAGTTTCTTTGCTATGTACAAAATTCACAGAGATAGAACCGATTTTGTGAATCCCTCCAGGAACAGGACTTTTTGGAAAGACAGAAATGTTCATCCTTTACCTTCCAGGGCACTTAGCTGCTGTTCAGAGTTTACCAAACTAAGGTAAGAAGGCCTCAATGTATTGAATAGGTCAACTCAGGTACTCAAAAGTTGATTAGCTGCCCTGACATTTGCAAATCAGCAGCTAAAATGTTTTCATTAGAGGAAACTTGCTCAATATAATACCTTTTTTTTTTTCCATTGTTGGCAGTGAAATACTATTCAGATTGTGAATACTTTAATTTTTTTCAATACAAATACCTATTGTACTGTTATAAGGTCAAATTTGGAGCTCATGATATTACTATTTTCCTGAAGGAGTCAAAGTATGATGGCACAAATACTTGCAAGAATAATGTTACTACTGTAATTGTTCCACTTAGGATTGCTTGAGGTAATTAGTAAAAAGAGTCAATCTTTAGCATGCATCATCTTAAAAATATTAAATGAAAGTGTACACAAAATTGCAGATGATGATTTTAAAGAAAACTCTGTAAAAGTGATAATAATAAGTAGGCCACTGATTATTCATATGGTGCAACCTACTATGCATTCAACTTTTAAGTCACGCACATTTTGATATTCAAACAGTAAAGGAAAATCTGATATGTTTCCCAACCTCCAAAACAAAGAACAAATGTACCAGCAATACAGCTGTTGGTACAAAGAATAAAAAGGAAACATTGTCTTGTGTAATTTAAAAAAACAAACAAACAAAACAACCCCACAGGAAGACTGTGCTGCATATTTTTATCATCTTGTTTACTAAGGATCTCTCTCTCTTTTTTCTTTTTAATTTCAGTTGACTGAGTCTCTTTTTGCTGGAGAAGGATGTAAAAAACTGCAGAAAAACATGAAAGACAGCGCTTTGGAGAGTACATTCAGGAACTTCTTAGAGAAAGAGGATCCAAAAATATTACTACATAGGAAGGAAACAGAAAACCTTAGCACACCTGCGTTATGCTGCTTATATTCCAGCAATTGAATATTTTCCTCCTTACTCAAATCTATTTTCAGCAGGAAAAACTTCTTCAATTAAAAAAAAAAATCTTTTACATTTAGTCTTAACCATTAATTAAACAACAAAAAGGACACAAAGCGAATTTTTTGTAATCATCATCTCTACTACACCAATTTGACTTATCACTGAATATGGTACTCTTCAGTGTAGGCACAGCTGGTAAAGTCATTTTTATTGGGATCTCTATATTTATCTTTATTTATCTTTTCTATTTATCTTTCTGAAAGAATAAAAGCAAGTAAGTCTATAAATAAGCCTTGCAAATTATTTACCTTTTAAAGAAACCAAAAGCATTATCCATAGAAAATATTTTTTTTCAACAAACTAAAACCTACCTTTCCTACTCTATGCAGCTTAAAAAAAAAAAAAAAAGGCATGCATATCTATTAAAAAAAAGCATATCTATTAAAAAAAAGCATCACCTTATTATGCAAGGAATGTTACAGTAAGACAATGTGACATCCAAATGAAAAATATTCAAGTATTTTTCAGTCAAATGATTACAAGCCCCTGGTTTACTATTTTGCGTTCCGCTCTACACCTGGTCCAGATTCATGACAGCAGAAGTTTGAAGCAGGAGCAGCGTACATAAAACATCCACCAACTCAGAATCATACCCCCTTACCAGTAGGACAGGATACTACCACATTCTACTCTCCCCTACTTAAGTTTCTTTTCTAAAATGCTTTTGAAAGGTATTTTTCCATTTTACATTTCTGAATAGCTTACAGGCCCCCAGGGTGCAAAAGTGAAACCTGAAATATTTCCAATATATAATACAATGCAAAAGAACACATGTAAAATAACTTAGGAGTCCACTATAAACCACATTAACAAAATTTGCATTTGAGAAAGGAATATCTCAATGACACTTAAATGGCAAGGAGCAGAACTGCCCAGCTATTCAGAAGAGATCGTCAGGAATAAAAAACACATGGATTGGTACGATTAAGGTATATTTTACAGTTTTTGAGTTCCTGAGTTTAGAGATTTGGGAAGGTACTAGTTCCTTTTGTCTCTTTAACAATTGCCTTAATTTTAGCCTTATCCTGGATTTTTCCAGTTTTTATATTTCTTTCTTGCTTGAACTTCCTTATTTACAGCGTTTTCAAACGCCTAGATTTAGAAACCTACATAGAGTCTACAAAGAATTTTAGCCTGAAATTATGTTTTATCTCTGTTTCTAAAAAATAAAGCAAATGGATTGAGTTCACAAAGAAATAATTATTTATGATGAAGAGCAAAACTGATAGAAATGATCCTCTACCTTCCAATCTTACAGACATACACAAACTTCATGAGTAGTGTATAACTACATTATTGCATCTATATTCAAAGAGACTATGCATATTTATAAAAAAATATATGTTTCTTTCCAGGAATGTATCTTTCATCCTATATTATAGTTTCTCTTATATAAGAAAACTGGAACGTAAATTACATAAACATTGTAAACAAACACAAGACAATTTATATCAAAAAATATAAATATTTTAGCATACAAGTAATCGCATATATGTAATATTACAAAGGTATTGGTCGAATGAACATGATCAGAAAAATGTCCACAATTACATGACAGCTAAAAGCATGGTTCAACAGATGAACAGAAAAAAAAAAAAAATCAAGTGAATATTATCTTTTCATTTTCATAAAATCACAGGCTGTTAAGCTCTTTTAAACTTGAACAGTCTTGATGCTTAATAACTCGGTTAACAACAATAAAAACCTACAAAGCATGCAGGTTATGCCACAGAAGTAGTACAGAAAATACCAAAGACTAACACGGAGAGGGTAACATGTTGGGGTTGCCCTCAACCATGCTGTGACATTAGTCATGAGACTCAGGTTACAGAGTGCCTGTGCATGTTTCCACTACATTGCAATGGATGGGGGAAATATATTGTAGCTGAGTAGCATGCAGGCCAATCAATCTCAAAAGTGATCAGATATGTATGATTTATTGAGGTAACCTGTGTAAACATGCTGACACGTTGCTCTGCCTGGTTAAAAAGCACCAGATCTGCATTCTTGACTGATCCAGCTTGATTTTACCCCTGTGAGAAGTAAGAATGGTACGCAACGAAGTTAAAACATGGTACCCTTTAGGTTGTTTGAGTTCTGGAAACAGCAGAAGTATGGATTCCTACTTAATTAAAAATGTGTTTTCTAAGCATGTCACACATTTGCAAAACGTAACATTTATAGCTGTCAGTTTGTTGATTAGAGTTTTAAGCACATCCAAAGACATACTGGAAGAGGTAAAATTAGCAGAACGTCTGGAGCTCATAGACGTTATGTTGGACTTGGGCCTCAACCTGAAAAAGAAACACCACAAACAACCCTCCCCCAAATGCCTCCAGCCCCCCCAAAAATAACCCCAAACCAAAAAGACAGACAGATGCACTCACACTATGTGTATTACAGCTTTAAGCAGCCTCTAAATGGTAGTAATTAGACCTTTAAAGTAACAGAAATATATTTTTCCTTTCATTTCGTTTTCAAGGTTATTCCTGGTCTTCACTAGATTTTAAATATGTATCTAGGATACACCTTCAGAAAGCAGCTGCAGGCAAAACAAACCAAAAATAAAATAAAATCTATTATACCAGGTCAAACAAAAACTTCTGGGTAAGCAATTTTTTTCCCAGCCTCATTAGCTTTTTTGAGTGCTTAACTTAAAAAATAAAGTTTCAAATACTTTAAGGTTCTTATGGATTTTAGCAGACATATAGCAATTTAAAAGCAAAAACCTCTGTCTAGCAATAAACCTGTAATTTTCTCAAGTCCCTCACAACTTTTACAAATCTTCTGGAATAAACCTAATCCTATGTCTCACCAATGACTTCTCAAAGGTTTATCAAATAATGCAGCTATCTAAAAACTCCAATATAAACTGCTCCCATTTAAAGGGAAAGTCTGAAAGAAAGAGCTGAAATAATCTACAAAATGAAAGACAATTTCCATATTGACTATGAACTGGTATGCATGATTTTTTTTTGGTTGTTAATTTACTTATCTCCTATGGTTTTCTTTCAGCTATACCAATCCATACCACTTTTCCAAATCTGAGTGGGTTAAAATTCATACTAGATAATAGTATCTTATACAGTTAAAGCTGATGTTTAATCATGAATATCAGAGGTGAAGAGGCAGGGAATTTGTTACCCAGTTCTTAAATACAAAATAGTGAAGAACCAGGTGTCATCAATTGCTGGATAATTTCTAGGTAAGGGTTAGATTTAACACAGTTATCAGAGCAAGAGTAAATTACCGGGATTCATCAGATATTCCTTCCAAAAAAACAAGTTTTAATAAAACACATTAAGAAAGCCACTATCTTTTTTACTCAGATTAATAATATGCAAAAGATGTAACAGCTGTTCAGCAGACATTATAGCTTCCTTACAAAGTGCAGTTAATACTTTAAAACAAGTTATAAATATTGTTTGCTTTGCTTTTAAGAGGCTTCTGAGTAATCAGGCCAATGTAATATATGGGGTAACAGAATCTCCAAAAAGTACATGGAACAAATCAAGTGTCAGGAAATGACCTGCTGAAATAACAAATGAGTGTAATACTACTGAACACTGCACTTTACAATAAAAGAAGCACCTAAAGAGTCACCTCATTACGTCTTTCAAATTTAAGTTTAATTTAACTACACTTTGCTAGAACAAACTTATTTTCTCAAATTTGGAAAGAGCATAGGCAAATTCATTGTCAGTTCAAAATAAAGCAATCAAAACCTAACAAGTCCACAACCAATTAAATAAAAAAAACTCCTCCAAGCTCCAAAAGAAAACAATCCAGACCAAGCAAACGAGGCTGAAGTACGGCTGTCTGCACAAGCCGTGCAGTGACACTCCATTAATGCCCTTGTGTCTCCAGATGCCCGCGGGGTTGATACCAGACACAGTCTCCACTTGGAGCCGCAGCAATCTGAATTTTCAATCTGTCTCTCAGGATCCTGCTGAAATCCATGATTTTGGTTCCCCCTCAGACTGCAGCTGCTAACAAATGACTACTTTCCTAAAGCTGACCCAGTTCAAGGTCAGGCAGTTGTCATTGAAGTGACTGGCTCAAAACACTCACAAACAAGCAAGAAATTAATATTTTTTCATTCAGTAATTCTGTTTTTTTCTCATTATTTTTACTTGACATATTGACTTAAAATACTGACATTGTTCCCTTGGCTTTCCCCCACCATTTTAACTTCAGAACTCAAGAACTGCTGTTATTGTTCTCATTAGCCCAAGTTAGCACCTCTGTTAGATTATTCAGGACAAATAATGTTCATTTATGTAGAATTCAGTGAGCTTTAAAAATCACATGCAACTGGTATTAATATTCCTTATTAATATCTCCTCTAATATTTCTAAATACAAATTCACTTTTATCCTTACTTTATGAAAATAGTATGATTATATACAAAAACCCATGTCTTTTATCTGTTAATTATGCACATAAATATTAGGTTTTCTATCTAAACAAAAATTTGGAAAAGCTTGTTTTTCAAAACCCTTTTATAAATGGGTTCGTATATGTTTATATAGTTCTGCCTAGATTTCCTACTCTTTTTAGTTCCACTTTCCCACTTTAGTTTATTCACTCTCAGTACAGTCCAATTATCTCAAATCACAATCCCTTCTTATTTCTAAGCAGGAAGAGACATACTATGAAAATAAAATTGGTATAATTCATCCATACAAAATATAAAATATTTAAATCTTACCTCCTTGCTTTCCTCCAAATCTGAGTCACTGCTAAACTCTTCTGTATTTAGATGTTCAAAATCGGATTCTCCAACAGCTATTGGTACTGTAACAGTAAGGCTTGGGTTGTTTATGAATGATGTATAATCACTCCCACCTATAACAGCAGCCATTCCATTCTCATTTTTGTGGTATTTTGCATCTATCCTTATCTCAGCAATGGTACAGTTGGAAATGCAATGGTCTCTCTCATCGTTCAACTGATTTGTTGCTGGTTTTTGATTTACAACAGCTTGTTTCCCCCAACAAGTCTTATGGACACATTCACTTGCTTTTTTCTTCACATAATCTATTCCTTTCTGGATTCTTCCAACAGCAATCTGTAAGTTGTTCATTTCATTATCATCCTCTGTAGGAGAAAGGCTGTCTGAACTAAATGAACTCAGCAGCAAGGCCAGAAAAAGGTTCAATACCTAAAAAAAATTTAAACAAGACAGACATTACAGCTGGATTTTCTCAATTTTTCATGCACATGCTTCTCTTCTATCACCCATTATGAACTTAGACTTCATGTTCTCCTTTGCTGCATACGATTCCAGATTCTTTGCTGCATACGATTCTGGAAATTACACTGTAAATAAAATGCAAATGCGGTTTAAGCAGTACACTGGTCCTATAGCCCAATGTAGGTTTTTTTGTGGTTTTGCATTGCTGTATGACTACAAAGACTCTTGTAAATTCTTTTTCTGCTTGAGGTTAGAAATTAATGATTCATTGGTACTGACTGGACAGATCCAAAATGTTTATTTCTCTGGCACAGGGAAGCACTCTGCAACAGAAGATCATAGCTGATCTGTGCAGAAAACAGCTTTCTTAACCACTGGCCCAAACTCACAAATATTTTGCTGCATGTGACTTAAAAAATGCAAAGCACCTAACCTTCTCCTATCCCCCAACTCATCCTCTTTCCATGGCAAGACAAAACATAGAAGAGATCAGTTATAGAAGCCCAGAGTTAACTGAGGGGGCCCATCCTCCATGCTGAGGATTCTATATAGGATCAGAAATCTAAAAAACAAAACTCTATTTCGGAACACACTTGTAACAAATTCAAAATCATAAAATACATATTTACATAACACATTTAATAATACTTAAAAACTTAAAATTACTGGTTCTATTACTGTTCTATCTCTAAATGGATTCTCATATTATTTTGGCTACATACCACTAGGTTTCCAATCACCATGACCATCATGAAGACCGTAAGGCACATGGGTTGGCCTGCAACCTCCATGCAGTCCCACATCGTTTCTATCCATTCTCCACACAGCACTCGAAATACAATCAGGAAGGAGTGGAAAAAATCATGCATGTGCCAGCGTGGTAGTTCACATTTCTTAGAGATCTTGCAGACACATTCCTTGTAGCTTTTCCCAAACAGCTGCATCCCAACGACAGCAAAAATGAAGACAATGATGGCCAACACCAGGGTCAGGTTTCCTAGAGCCCCCACTGAATTGCCAATAATCTTAATTAGCATATTTAGCGTTGGCCAAGATTTTGCCAGTTTGAAAACTCGCAACTGAAAAACAAAAATACAGAGACATTATTTGCAGTAGTTACAAGAACACTATAGAAATAAAGGACAAATTATGAACTAGTGACTCTCAGCAATACCAATAAAGAAACTTCAACATGATTCCAACAACAACAATTTACACAGAAATAGGAGTTGCATAAAATCCACACTTTTAAACCTTAATAAATTTTACGCTTTGCTCTTTTTTTTGTGTAGTATATCTGTATTCTTTTCCACATGAAATAAACAGCATACTGGTTGAATTTGCTTGAATAGTGAATTCTGAACCTGGCACGCGTCTCAACCATTATGTGCAGAAACAAAATAAAATTCTAATAAAGCTTAACAGCATTCTAGGAAGGAAAATAAAGAATTCTGAAACCTTGAAGAACGGGGCCTTCCAAAAGAATACCGCCTCCAAGAAATTTAAAAAGGATCAGACAGACCCACGGTCTGGAAATAGAAGTCAAACACAAGCCCTAAGTCAAACATTTCAACTTATGAAAGGGAAAAAGTATAATTCATACTCTTTCTTACCCATAATCCACCTAAAATAAAAAAGGTATTAAATATTTTTTGTTTTCAGATAAAAGAGAAATGGAAATGCAAAATGGCAAGAGACCACACAGAAAGACTGCCTCATAGCTCATTTCTCATTTTTAAAATAAAAATGTTTTTCTAATAAAATAAAGCATTCCTTTTTTCCCAAGGGAGAAAAGAAAATCGATCTATTTTAAATTTAAAAACATATGAATTTTATAATTCCTACAGTTTAAAATAAAATTTCTAGTCTTTTTGCAATTTTCAGATATGGAAGTAGACAGAAGAGTACACATGTTCTATTTATTAACTTATCTCTCAATATGCACTAAATAAATTGTACACTTCACTGTGCTTTACCCATCTATGTTAAAACAATTACAATAAATTTACAGCTCCTTCCCTTGAAAAAGTACTTAGGTGCTTGAGAACCATAAAAAGGCACACACTATTCAGTGATAACATAATTTTATAAAACAAGCTTGCAGAGATATGCTGTGACACTTCACAAAAAATTCACATATTACTAAAAAGAGTCTTAATTACATGAGTACAGTTAAAATACAAACATAATACATTACTTAATACAGATATATTACTATCAGGAAATTATTTACCAATCTGAATGATCGGAGAACGGATAATCCATCCACACTTGACAGAAAAAGCTCCACCACACTAAGGGTAACTATAAAACTATCAAAAATATTCCAGCCAAATTGGAAATAATAAAAAGGATGCATGGCAATTATCTTGAGAACCATTTCTGCTGCAAAAATTCCAGTAAAAACCTAAAGGAAGAACATTTATTGTTACTTTATGGATGAGCACAAATAAGTTGAACCAGCAGACAAAAAATAACGTAAGAACTAACAACCCTCTTTCAGAAGGATGTCATTAAGGAAAATTATCACAAGCTGAACCTCACAAAGATAAGTGGCAACATCAAAATCAGCTGTAGCATAACTCTGTTAACTTTAATTAAAACGGACATACATTTAATGACTAGTGAAGAATAAACTATTCTTAACAGGCCTCCTGTTTGCTCCTTATATCTGCCGTCCATCAAATTAAAGGAACTTTCCTCAGCAAGATAATAGCAGTTGCTCTTGCCATGATAGAAACTGCTTTACCAAAGGTATGTGGGAAAATATGAATTGGCCATAAATTGGAGAGTGATGTGCTATTAAATGAAATCTTCATGAGAATTCACAGATACGGTAAGCATATCTTCTCTCTCTAGCTGCCAAAAAAAGGATAAGTTATGCCAAGGCTCATGGTTGAAGTAAAACTCCTTTCTGCCTCTGATGCCTCTGAAAAGGGAGTAAACTCACTGTATTTAGTGTGGATGTATGACCACCAGTATCTAAAGAACTCCATAATTTGTTATCTTTTGCTAGAAAGATAATTAATAAACCTCTAAAAACATCAGAGGCATTTGAGTCTTTAAAAGACAGTGCAAAACAGTTCAAAAAGGAAGAAATCAATTGCTGAAGCTAAACCTGTAAGATAGTGGCATTTCAGCTGACTGGGAGCAAACACATTCTTATCAGCACGAAGGAGCACTCATACTCACGTAGCTTAAAACCAGATTAATATTAAACTACTTCATTACAGATGAAAGGAAAAAAAATGGTGGTGTTTCCTGGGTAAAACACACAGGCATGATTAAATGACAACCCTCTGCAACAGCTACTGATCCTCATCTATTCGTCTACCATGTCTTTCTCCTCAAATACATCCTGAATCTATTTTAAACAGCAACATGTCATGATTATCTTCCACAGACAATAACCTCTGACTCCAACCTAAGGTGGAAACATTGAACTATGTATTGGCTAAAAATATCAGCATACAATTTAAATGTTGACACATTAACAATTCTGGGCTAAAACATGAATATGTTCCAAATATGTACTAGAATTTCATATATTCTCACAACTGAATTGTTTTTTTATTTAACTACAGCATAATCTCCATAATTACCACTTACAATAAGCATAGGTTAAGACATATAGCAGATAACATGACCTGTGTTATTGCCATTACCAAAAAAACCCAACCAACCACCCCAAACCCGACCTACAGACTCTCCAATACTGAACAAAACCTAACTGTATCAACAGATACTCTTGGATTAAGTCACACATTCTTTGCCTTCCAAACTGTTATGGACTAATCAAAGCAACATTCTTCATGGAAATACAAAAATAAAATAAAAAAAAAAAACCCCACACAGTGCAAAATAATAATCCAAAATAACATCCAACTCTTCCTGTGTTACCAATGATACAGTAGAAAGGATTTAATTTGGCTCCTACTGTTCTCACAATACTAAACAAAACCAAGTCAGATTTCTTTTGGGTTTGTGTCATTTTAACTCCAGTTGTTGAAAAATCTATTTGGAGATATTTCTATATAGAAATCAAACTCTTAAATGCAACATATCTTGAATGGTATTTTTAAAATATTTTTATCACAATTAAAACTTTAACATCTATTTTAGGAGACGATAATAAAAGTAATAAAAGTAATGCTATTCCAAAGAGAAACCAGGTTCTAATTTTATGAAATTATATACTTTGATGGACTTACCTGATTTCCTATTTTAAGTACATTATTGAAACTGGGAGTCATTGGATAATGTTCCATGGCCATAAACAGCGTGTTTAAAATTATGCAAACAGTGATAGCCAGATCAACAAGCGGATCCATTACAATAAGTTCAACTACATTCTTTACTTTTAACCAGGGCTCCCAACAATTCCAAATTAAGAAAGTGTGGGCAAACTTATACCAGCAAGGTGGACATTTTTGCCTTGATTCTTCAAGTTCTGGGAAAAAAATAAATGTATAGTGCATAAGTTTTGGAAAAAGAGAAGATACATTTTTATCTGCTTTCTTAGGTTTTAATCTTTGTCCCTGGAACCATTAAGGATGTTTGGAGGAACCTCCTCAGATTTCCAGGAACTTAGCTTACTGTTGCTGACTGAAAAGGTTTCAAGAAGACTAGAACAAAAACCTCAAGAGTTTTGAGCTAATAATTGAAAAAGTTGTCTATTTTTAGTATCGCATGATCTTGTTTTAAAAAAGCCAAACTACTTATGCTTACATTTCAGTAAAAACTAGCTTTACAGTCCTCTCAAATGTCTAATTATTTATTTTCTGGAAAAATAAAATTAATTTCATCATGAATACATTTTTGAAAACTATTAAAGCTTTTTCAAGAATTTCATTAGTAATTTCACTGTTCCAAACAATCCTACTACAGATTTCCTTCTCCTTATTAACTGAGGCTTGACCTTTAATTTTCTGTAACATTTTTGCAGTATAGTTAGTGGAAAATTTATCATAAGGCATTCCTTCTAATAACTGTATTACTAAACATGAATAACTAGCATAAAACACATACACATTATCTATTTTAAATAGAATGTGTTTCTTAGTTTAACCTGGTTATCAGATTGCTTCATTTCTTTTTTTCCACTATGTACATTTTTGTTCTATTACTCAGTCTATGTATTTGCAATGGCTACATGTTTGTCTTCTGTATTTGCACTCTGATATAATACCTTCAAGCAAGTCTAAAACTATGTCAAGAAAGTTCACACATCTGCAGTTATAACACACCTTCCATTGTATTTGTGATAATGCCAGCTATACTCATAGCTCTTTGCCTTAAATTGGGATCCTCCAGCAACTCCACTGGTATTTGATATGAACTTGCACGCCTCTTTCTTACGTCTTTTTCTGTAGCAGTGCTCTATAAAAAAAAAAAAAAAGGTGTAAATTAAATTCAACTTTAGAAATACTGCAAATCAGGTATCAGAAAGACTCTTTAGTTTCAATTAATTCGTAATATATAAAACTTTGTATTTAAGTGCTGTTACATTACTTTTCCATTATATGTGTAACATAAGCCTAGTATGTTTTTTAAATGGCTATTTTCATGTTATACTTCTGAATATTGCCAATAATATCTACTTCCCAGGTTACCACTGCATTATAGTTGACTGGTATAAACTCCGTATTAGACACAAAGAAATTTTGGAGGAGGTTTGTTTCCTTGGCTATGGGCAAGAGTGTTGCAGCACTGAAATCAGAAAAATTCCCAGTTCCATGCTTTCTCTACCAATATTTCAATTCTAAACTAGTTCAATGACAAGATACTTATAATATATGATTTATACTAGGAATTCTTCTGCAATAACAATTATTCTCTAAAAGTATTTTTATAGATCAGTCTTGATCTCTATACCCATTCAAAACTAATTTACAGGATGTATTTTATCTTGAATAGCTATCATTTGTGATTTATTTATGTATTCCAACTGAAGAAACAGAAGAAATCTGACTTAATTGACCCAAAAAAAGAACTTTTTGTTTTAAAGCATTTTATTAAAAAAATTGAAAGCTGTGTTATAGTTCTCTCATTGAAAACACTTCAATTACAAAGTTCTGAATGTATGAGCATGGGTAGATTTCTTTCAGTAAATTAAATAAATGAGTAAAAAGGAAAGTATAATAAACTGCAAGAAGATTATAACTGCAAGGAATCTGGCTGATGCACTTTCAGATGCTGTGAGCCGTGCAAAAAAATTTTTTTTCAATACAAGAAAGTCTCTAGGAAAAAACATGCAATGGATTCCTCTGCTCCATTCCTAAAGCAGACTGGGGGAAAAGGGAAAAATTACCAGAGGGAGAAATGGATGAATTTGTGTACACTTTTTTTTTTTAAATTATACCCTCATCCTAGGCAGTGAAAAACTCAGATTGCCTCCGAGATCCAGGAGAAAAAAAAAGCTGTCAGAGCTTCTAAAATGTCAACATAATCTTAAAGACTATGCTATATTTGTACAATAACAAACATATGGACAACAGAAAAATGTGGAACCAGTAGATAGATTACTGATAGAGAATCAGGTAATACATTTAAAGGGAGGCTAAAAAAGAGAAAGAACAAAAATCAAACCAACATAGTAATATGCAGAATGTTTAGAAAGCTGAGCACTCTATTTTGGGTTCTAAAACAGATTTAGCAATGGAACATCACTAATTTGATTCACTAGGCAGGTACGTGCATGTCCTTGCTCTGCAGGTATATAAAAATGTACTACTTTGTTCTCTTTCATTTTCATGCTTTAGCCTTTCACTTATGAGTCAATCACCGTAAACTCATTTCATTACAGCAAGATATGCAAAAGCATTCACAATTTCTCAAGCATTTTCAAAGCATTTAATTCCATACATTAAATGGAATTTAGAAATAAATATGCAATGTGCAATAAAGAAACGTCATGAAACCTGAAGTCATTTAAAACTTTCTTACGTTGTCATCAGTTGTTGGTTTATCTATTATCACCTCTGGCAGAAGCTGTCCAGTAGGCGATAATAGGCCTGCTGGTCCATCCACTAAGGAAACCACCCCATTGCAATCCACAGTGCTGTGCATCTTCCCATTCACTGGAAATGCTGTCAGCCTTCTTGATGATCTACTGGCCTGACTAATGTTACTGCTGCGCCGTTCACCGTGTCTGCGTGGCAAAAAGAGAGATCCTCTTCTACTCCCATTATCCTCAAACGTGCTGTGCTCATCATCAGCAAAATCATTTTCAGATCCTATTTCTCTTCCATATTCTCTAAAACTGAAAAGACTTGTTCTGCTACTACGCCTGGGAGAAAACAGGGACCCACGAACACTCAGTAAAGACTGCAAAGGAAACAAACAAAATGACCGGCTGAAGATTTTAAATATACAAAATGCATGTATATGTATTAAAAAAGTAATTATTTATATTCCCCATGAATCCATCAGTGCTATTTTTCATACAGTGCCTTAGGTAGATTTCACACACATGCACTAGAGATGAGAGTCACCTGAACAGGTAAATTTCTAATATACGTACAAAAATTATTGGAGAGAAAACACCTAACATGCCAGATAAGGCCACAGTAGTTTCCATCTCTATATTAAAGAGAAAAATCAAGACTTACAGAAATTCTAATGATCCACATAGATCATGCATTATGTTAGGAGATATCAATACCTTTAATCTTCTATATTGATACATTATAATTAAATTTTCCCCTTATGAATTAAAAAGGGATTTCTACTTCAAATTAACTAGGAAAATGCAATGCTGCTGTGCGTGTTAAGACCCACCAGATTCTAAACAATAAAATGAGAAAGATCAAAACACTTGTTTAGGTACACTCTAGAAAATAATACCAACAGTAAGTCAGTATTTAAAATAATGCAAATCCTTGGTTGTATTACTTTGCAAAGTTGCGGTGAAGTTTGTTGGATATTACAGCTATCTCAGAAACCCTCAAAATAACAACTGCACTATTCACAGTACCTGATGGGGGGATGTGAATGGCTTCCCATAAGCAAGTCTGTTTCCATCGAAAGAAAAACGGAAACCTTTCCTTCTGATACTGCCATCCGATTCGGATTTTGGAAGCTTCTCATCCTTCGTGTCATCCTCTTCTCCAGAGAGCTCCCTCTGCCGCCTTTTCTTCCTTCTGTTTCTCCTTTCTTTGGCACTTTTTGAGCTGAGCTTGGATGCTTCTGAAGAACTATCTGAGGGTCCACCAATCCCACTTTCACCACTGTACTCGGTCATCTCTGCTGCAGCTGCCGCTATTGCCTGCCACAGCAATTATTTAATGTGATGCTTTGCAAATCACACCATTTTTTAAAGAAAGCTATAGTGCTTGTTTCTAAGATTTATATCAAATTACTTCTAGATGTGCGACAAAAGCCTACACAGATTTCTGCAAAACTTCCAATGGAATTCTGTAATGGGTAGTTATGGAATTGCCCTTTGAACAGAGTTCTACTTTGCATCTGTATCGTGGAGTCAGCCTGCATTGTGTACAGCCTTCTGTGACAAAATTCATTAGAAAATACTTGCAAATTAAAAAAATTATTAATTAGAGTGCATGCAATTGCAAACAAAAGAGCTAAACAGAGTAATACTTCACACTATGTTAATTTAGTAACCTATTTTTAACTGTTATTGTAAATAACAGCTTCCTTAAGCTGCTCTAAGTAAAAAACTTGGGGGTACTATTTTTAGAACTTGATTTGCTGGTGATAACACAAGTAGCAAAAATTAGTCAGAAATTCATGGATAAAAATTTTTTGAACTCTAATCAAGGCTTGACAAGTATTTCACAAGTATTGTAATTATTTCTAAGGTGAGAATTTAGAAAATCATGATGACAGGTTACTAGATACTACCCCTAGATAAGAAGTATTTATTTAAAAACTATTATTCTGTTTTGAGGAGTACTTTCTATTCTCACTTCAGAAATTCATTAATGCTTTAGACCTCACATATTTCAAAACCAATAAAAAGCCACAGAGAAAGCAGTCTAAAGTACCTGTGAGGTACATAGAAGAATGGCTTTAATACATTATTTTAATTATTGGTTTTATTTTGAACAAATAGCATGCAAAGGAATACACTAAAGCTCAAACTCTTGTTAGAAAATACCTGAGCTTCTTCTTGCTGCTTCTTCAGCTGTTCAAGCATCTGCTGCAAGTCTGCCTCCCTCTGTTCTGCTTCAACCAGAGTTGCTTGATTTTGTTCTTCATAGGCCATGGCAACCACAGCCAAAATCAAGTTAATCAAGTAGAAGGAACCCAGAAAAATGACCAGAACAAAAAATATCATGTATGTTTTGCCAGCAGCTCGTAGCGTCTATAGGAAAAGAGGAGAAATGATCCATCAGTTCTGCAGTTCATAAGCATTTACTAAATTTAAAAAGTGCAAAACTATTGAGTTGCTGTTCCTTCTGTAATACGGTCATACAAACTTTCTTAATTAAAAAGTAATTAAAATAAAGATAGCATTCACGTGTGTGAAAAACATGTTTAAGGATCATGCTGCTTACAGACAAACCTTTTTTAATGCCCAATAATCTTGAAAAGGATGCGAGATCAGAGTAATTGATGTTAATCACACATCACAGGTTGGATGCTTAGTATGCTTACCATATATTTGCATGCCTTTGCCTTGAAATAAGCAAAAGAACTAAAGATGGTATAATTGATTAAGTAATTAAAGGATAATATTTATTATAATTAACAGATTTTCACACACCATATAATGAAAAGCTATGGTTAGAAAAGTGATTTATATCAAGACGAGCATTCTCAGTTATCAAAAATAGGATTCAAACTACAGAAATTAAGATTCAGATTTTACTATCACAGAGTATTTTTACAATTTAAATCCAATATTAAAGTTTTTGAGAATAAGTTTTTATCATGAAGCACAAAATGAAATATACACTGTAACAATAAAATAAAGTATCATCTCCTCTTCAGAAATAATGGTAGATTCTGTAGTCAGTGCCCATGCCTGCAACTGAATTTGATCCCTTTCATCAATGATGTCAATATTGAATTGCTAACCATAGCAATGGTCTATAATATAGATATGAATGGCCTGTTCCACATTCGATTTGGGGCCAGTAAGGCACTAACTACAATTTTTACAATATACTCACCTTCTGATAGAGATTTTCCCAATAGTCCTGTGTCATCAGACGAAATAGTGACAAGAAAGCCCAACTGAATGTGTCAAAGCTAGTATATCCATAGTTGGGGTTTCTACCAGCTTTCACACAGATAAAGTCTTCTGGACATTTACTAGGAGGGAAAAAAAAAAAGAAAAAAGTAAAGCAATGCATATAAAGACATTGTGCAACACTGCAATTCTTTTAAAATTATTGTGCCTTGAGCTTCTAATGAAGGTTCATTAGATACAATCTGTGAAACGGGCTACTATTAAGGGACATCAGGGAGTGTAGTGATAGCACAAGGGGTAACGGTTTTAAACTGAAAGAAGGTAGATTCAGATTAGCTATTAGGAAAAAATTGTAGCAGTGAATTTTCTTAATTAACATTCACATAGTATTTTCTCATTTAACTTTTTCATTTATTGAAGTGTTTACGTACTATGAACCATGACCACATATTATTGACTGTGAAATTAGATAGGTAAAATATCTTTTTAAGTTTAGTGATAAGTTTTGCATTTGTTTAGACAGGTAGTACGTAATTTTCAGTGTATCTTACCCTGCATCTGAGCTATTGCCACAAAGCAGATAATCCTTTTCTCCTTCTATGCGATAGAAATGACCTGAAGAAAAAATAGGAAGCAACATCATTATAAATGGGAGGAGCATTTTTTTTTTTCTGGTGAGGGTGAACCTATGTTCAAGTTATCATGGTTTGAATGTTCACATTCTCCCATTCATGTTTTCCCAATAACAGGTTCAAATACTGACACATCCATAGTGGTAAGTAAAGTTGCAAAATTAAAGAATAAAATAAAAACACAATGTAAAAAAAAATAATCCTAGAACAATGATTAGAACAACATAAGTTGCATATTCTCTTTTTGAATCATAGTAAACACTGAATATCCTTCCAAAAATCTGATGTTCAATAAATGAAAGAAAGCACAAAGCTTAAAAGTCCTTCTCTTATTCAGTAGGTGATTGTAATCAAACAATTAAAGTGTATCGTATTTAAAATGGAACTATTTACAATGATTGGCTAACAGTTTTGAAGTTAGAGCAACAACAACTAGCTCATCCTGTGACTGACAGTACAAAGGTAACAGTTAAAAAGAAGATGGATGTTCCAATGCCAATGTTATAACGGATGCTGTACTACAAACAATTTTACAGAATTCTTCTTTGAATTATAAGGCAGTAGCCTTCAGAAATAAGGGAACATATTTTGTTATTAATGATTAACAACTGTGCCATCTTTAAAAAAAATAGAAAAAAGAACACAGAAAGATTATAACAAAGTGGGAAAGAAGCTGATAGGAGTGAGGGCAGACCCCACTCAGAGGAATAGGCAGGCTAGAGGGACAGGCTGACAGAAGACACATAAAATTTGGCAAACACAAGTGCAGAGCTGTGCACCCAGGAAGGAAGAGCCCCTTGCAATGATGCAGGCTGGGACTGACCCGCTGGGGAACAGCTCTGCAGAGAAAAGGCACTGGGGGTCTTGGCAGACTGGCAGCAAGGGGAACGTGGGTGAGCAGTGTGACCCGCAGCCAAGAAGGGCAACAGCCCCTGGGCTGCCTGAACAGAAGCAGAGTGAGGGAAGTGACTGTCCCCCTCAGCTCAGCACCCCAGCACTCATGAGCCCCCAGCACTCATTAGCCTGTCCCTAGAATATTGTTGTCCAGGTTTGGCCCCATCAATGCAAGACATTGGTAAAGTGGAGCAAGTTCAGCAGAAGGTCACCAAGACAATGAGGGGGCTGGAGCATTCACCCTGTGAGGAGGGACTGAGGGACCTGACCTTGTTCATTCTGGAGAAGGGAAGGCTGTGGGGGGAGTTGGTAGAAAGCATCCAGCAACTACAAGGAGGTTATCAAGGGGACAGAACCAAGTTCTTCTCACTGGTGTGTGGCAGAAGAATTACAGATAATGGGCATAATTTGAAACAAGAGAGGTTCCCACTAGATATAAGGAGAAACTTTTCACCACGAGGTCAGCCAGGCGCCAAGACCTGGAAGAGAGACAGAGATCTGGAAAAAACTCTTATCCCAACTAAACTCATTGTCTGTCATCCTCAACTAGTACCCTCAATGTACCTTTCAAGCTGACAAAAGGCTTTGATTTTCACAGGATAAAACACTATTATTATTGCTATTATTTAAATAGCAAGAAACAGCCCATGGAATAAAGAATATATGAAGACAGGAGGATTCTAAGCCAAACCCTTAAATCAAGTCTATTGATGCCAAAATCCTACTATTCAAGAACAGTACTCATATAATGTTAGAAAAAATTATAATCCTGTTACTTCCACAATAGCTTTAAAGCTGGCCAAAACTCTAAAATGATCAGATTTTGAGCTAAAAGCCAAGTGCCAATATTTTGACATGTGGATCCAAGACTGTGAGTATCTTTTCAAAAAGTGAATCTGGCCTTGTTCTTAATAAATGAAAACACACAGATGTTAAGAAGAGTCACTAAAGGTTATCACACTCAGTCACAGCAGACAGGCACATGACGTGCTGAAAGAAATATTAGGATCTTAGTGAAATTAAAATGCAACTGACACAGACAAATGATTAAGAACAGGTTATAGGAACAAGGAGGAATACAAAGAGGACTAGATGGAACTGCCTTGGTCCCATCAGCACTCTGCAGAGACTCGCAGCAAAGTCAACCATTGTAACAGAGGAAGCAACTGTCAATCTGGAATATTTTAGTTCTGTCTTTCAGTTTTACATTCCTGCTTAGTGGGAAATGGAAACAGAGAATCTATTTGAAGCAAAAATTCACAAGTGTTCGACAGCATTTAAGCTATCAGCCAAAACTGCCCATAAAGCTGACAAATAGCAGTATCACTACTCCATTTTTGCGTCCCTTCTTGATGGCAAATAAACTAGCTGAAATTATAGGTAGCACAGAAAATGCAAATATAGTCACAGAATTTCCAGAACTTTAAAAATTCAGAAGTATACAAAGAAATTCTGAAAATACAGAAAACAGCAGAGAACTTTAATGTCCACTTTTAAGTAAGGAAGGAAATATTAAAACTCAGCCTATATCAAATGTATTTTCTTTAACTTTTTGGACAGTGAGGAGAAAAGCTAGCATCCATTACTATACCAATTTCTTTTTACTTATATACACTACTTTTACAATTAATTACTGAGTAATACCCTGTAAATCCAGTTCCAGCACAAACACATACATTAAAATGAATTAAATGTTAGGCAATTAAAAGTTGTTAAACTATATCTCACGGTTCATTGTGTAGTACAACTTCACTGGTGCTATCACTTAAAATGACACAAATAAAAAATAATTATCTGTGTGCTTCTGAACGAGCCTGAATGTTATCACTTCAGTCTACAGAGCTTAAGACTGTTGAAAAATATCTGGATAAAGATGTCTTTTTCATCCCCCTTAGGAACAACAATCATAGATGAATACCATGTCCTTCCCCACCAGAATCTCTACTTGTCTAGTGAGCTCTTTATTTCACAGCAGAGCTACTAGTTTCTTATCTCTACCTAATAATAAAAGTACATAGTGTCCAGGAAATCTCTGACACTATGCTTAGTGTGAGAGATTAGTGCTTCTCTGTCTTATTTATAAGCTAAAGATACAAGGGGAGGCTAAGAGAATTGGTTTTGTTCAGTTTTGAGAAGGCTAAGGTGGAGGGGGGAGACTGGGGGGCGAATCTTCACATTACCTAACAAGTATTACATGGGAGACTGTAATGAAGATGGAGCCTGACTCTTCTCTCAGAAGTACACACTGGAAGGGTAAAAGGCAACTAGTAAAAGGCTGAGCACAGGAAATTCTCATGTCAAACACTGGAACAGGCTGCCCAGAGAGGTTGTGGAATCTCCATCTTTATTAAAAACTTGACTGGCCGTGGCACTGAACAGTTTGCTCTAACCGGACCTGCAGATGAGCAGCAGTTGGTCAGGACATCTGGGGAGATCCTGTCCAACCTGCATGATTCTGTGATTCTAAAACCAACCTAACCCTATAATCATGTTTCTACGTGCAGTTAATGGAAAGAACAATCACGTCAGCATGAGCCTGGGATGCAATACATAAAAATTCCTACTCTTTGCCATCCTATTTAATTGATTTCTATCTTAAGCCTACAGTATGAAATAGCAATCCTGTGCATGTGTGTTTATACACAAAAAATTTTAACAGGTTACAACAGTATTTCTTACTTTCATCCTCAATGTATGCTGTCCAGTCAAACACTGTACCATTAAAGTATGGAGTTAGGTTTCTTCCAAAAGATGTTGAATTTTCTGGTGGCCAAAACAAGCATTTATTCTTCAAACTACCCATGAACAGCTGCAGTCCTATTAGTGCAAATACACTCAGGCAAAACACAGTCAAAATCATTACATCCGAGAGCTTCTTCACAGACTGAATTAAGGCTCCAACAATAGTCTTCAAGCCTGAAAACAGAGACAGATTTTTATTATAATATTAAATATTTCCCTAAGCTAAAACACAATGTGAACTACTTCAACATACTATTAAATATCATGCATAGCTCACAAAAATAATCTTAAAATATTTTCCAAAGGAAAAAGGTACGAGTAAGTTTCATTGTTCCTGAAAAATTAATTTGAAATATGAATGGGCCTGAATGGTGCACATTCCAAAGTGCCTGCTCTTCAAATTAAGAAGTAACTTTTTATTCATGCTCTCTATACATTAAAACTACATGTAAAGAAAATTGTTCATTTTCTTTTCTTCTTGATGCCTCTTGCTCCAAACCTTTGCCAGCGTTCTATTCCAATACACAATATATTGGGTCTATAACAGCACACAAAACCAGAACGCAATTGCCTTGCAGTAGAAATGTTAATAATTGCATTCTATTGCACCCTATTCAACTGGAGGTTGGGTTTGGTGAAGATGGGCATCTTAAGGTAATAAGTACATCATGCAATTCCCATGCTACTCTTTATTATCTTATTCCTTCACTTTTGTCAAGGATTCAAGATGTAAACAGACTGAAATTTTCAATCCCAAATGTCTTCGATAAATAGTAACATTCACATTAGTAAGAGAAAAGTGAAAAGATAATTAATTTGGATAGTTAATGCAGGAGAGAAAATTTGACATCGTGAAATGGAAATATACACAGGCTATGTAATTCAATTTCTCATGCAAGAATGTATTAAACTCTGAGGCTGAATGTTTTAGAGAATTAGAAAAAGGAATCAAATTGAAGTTAAGATTAAAACCTGGATGGTTCTGTTAAATATATGAGTCCAGCTTCTGTGGAATTTCAGTCAGCCTCAGTGTTTAACCTCGCTCTCACCTGGAATGACTGATATTGTTTTCAAAGCTCGGAGAACTCTGAATGTTCTCAACGCTGAGACATTGCCCAGGTCCACAAACTCTGTCACATATCTGTAGTGAGGGATTCCACACACAAACACAATGACAGCACACACAAAATTAAACAGAGGTGACATAGAGGGCCTACCATTTTACACAGCTACTTCTTACCTGGGATTACAGAAATAGTTTTCAAAGCTCTCAATACTCTGAAAGTTCGAAGAGCTGAAACATTGCCTAGGTTTACAAATTCTGTTACATACCTGTAGGATTAAATCACAGTTATTCAGAATTAACATACAGTGTATGCTACTTACCTGGACCTGAAATCCAGAATATTGTTTTTTTGGAAAAGGCAACTTTAAATGAAAGACTTGCATTCATATGTTCTTGTTTCAATGCAGTTTTCCCTAAGAAACACACCCTTACATATTTCCATCGAATGCAAATTAAAAATTATAAGGATTCCCTTGATTTTATTGTTTAAATACTTATTAAAACTGGTTGTTCAGTGGCAACCTCTCTTTCATACTGTGGGAAAGTAGCACACACTAATTCTGCTGTGTGTTACATTAATGTAAAACATTAAAATGGAAAAAGTTGAAACACAATTCAACTACGACTCATTCTAAATGAGCTAAGACAACCCAAACAAATTATTACAGGTTCAAAAATTTCTAAGTGTTATTTACTTTAAGAAAATTATATACTTACGCAAAGGAAATGACAACAAAATCAAGCCAGTTCCAGGGGTCACGAAGGCAAGTAAAATCATTTATACAGAAGCCTCTTGCAAGGATTTTTACCAGAAATTCAAAAGTATAAATTCCAGTAAAAGTGTACCTATGAGAAAACATCCAAGCCAAAGTTAAAGGTTGCTGTTCCGTGCTATAACATCACAGGCATATAGGAAAATCACTCCAAAACAGTGATAAGCACATGCACTGTAAAAGTTAAAGACTTGCATAAACTATGACTGTTTTTCCACCATTCCTCTGCAAGGTAACTGGATCTATATATTTATTTTATTTGAAACATATTTTTGCAGTTTCTGGCACATAAGAATTTGAAATGTCAGCACAAATAATCATGACTGACATGAAGAAACTATTTTCGCTCAATTAAAAACTTCAGCATGGTTGCCATGTCAGAAATAAAATTCATGGGTAAGCGAAACCTACTGTTTACTAAAGTTACTTGATGGCTGACCAGGTACACTTGAGAATATAAAAAAATAATCCTCAGCAGAGGTAATTTCTTTAAAGAAGCTGTGTGTCCCATTTTTAGATTTTGTTACACAAAATGAAGTTGCTTCATAGGGGCTATAGAAAGCATCTTCCACACTGGGGAAGAACATGGGTTGAATGGCTATTTTCTTCTACTATTTTTTTATAAATGCTAAAGGAACAGCATAAAAACATTACTTGTTCTACATTCTGAATAAGTATATTAATCAGAGTTTGTTCAGAGAAAAAAGTTAACAGTAATACAGCTTATTTCCTTCCTAGGTCTTGCACGTCTATACTGCTTTGTGTTGCAACTAGGATCAAACTCCAAGCTAGAAAAAGGAAACTACTGGTATTACCCACAAGGATAAATAAAACTACACAGTCTAGCTCTTAATTTACCTTTTCATTTTTAAACCATTAAAAAATTATTAGCTAATTTAAGCATACTTACTCTACATTCTTTGTCCAGTCTGGAAGGTTATTCCATGTCATAAATACACAGTTTGTCAAAATAGTGAGCATAATGAGCATGCTGAATAATGTTGACTGTAGTTAAGGAACATACTCTTTTTTAAAGCTGAATTTGCCTCACACAAAACATGAGGAATTGAGCAGGCTATAGAGCACTGACAACACATATGATACAAATCAGTTTACTAGTACTAGCAACATCATAAATAATGCAAAGATGTTTTGCAATAATGATGGCTATACCACTAACTCTGCAAGCTGGGTATACATGCTGTGCATCTCTTCCTCTGAACTTCATCATAGGGTTAAACAGAAATATCTTAGCTCTGATTCATTTTGAGAGAAAGAATTAAGGGCAGGAACACATTTAAAGGCTAAAACAAAAAAACACAGTGTTATTAAATATTAAAAAAGACCAGTAATAATTTTTAACAAACTACTTGGAAAGGATATGAATGAACCAAAATCTTAATAGCTATTCTTCTAATAATATTGAAAGGAGATAAAAGGTACAAGGCAGGTGTGGCACTGAACCTGAAGATTGTCTTCCCTTTATTCAATACTATAAATGTCTTTTCAAAAAAAAAAAAAAAAAAAAAGGGTAGGGAGGAAGGGAAGGGGAGGTAGGAAATAAGAAATTAAAGATACGTTAGCAACTTTTCCATAAATGGAGGATGCACTTACACAGATATAGGTAATTGACTTTCAATAGAATTATACAAGCAAATATCAGATTCTAAATTTTTACAGGAGTAATGAAAACTGAACACCTTACATTCTCTCTGTGCTCTTAAACTCTTCATGTTAGCATTTTCCAGGATTATGTAATTGCATTAAAAAGGTAATTAAAAATTTGTAATTTTTAATATTAAAAATTAATCCAGCTATATTACTTGCACTTCAGATCAAAGACAGCAATGCAAAATGAAGCACCTAATTAACCATTTTTGGACACCTATAAGCAACTATTTAACCATTACAGCACTTTAAAACTGCTTCTGACATAAGTAATCCATGGCTTTTGAAGGCTTTACTGCCTTTATTACCTGTGCAGTAATCGCTAATACCATTCATGCAACCATTTGTGATTTTGTCTAGGACATACATGGAAAATGTCATCTAAAGAAATCTTAATTCCATCTACATCTTATGATTATTCTCCCAAAATATATCTAATATCTGGAAAAAAGCAGGTTTTAACATTGAATCTTTCTGTTTTCTAATGATATTCTATTGTAAAGGAAATATATCATTTGACAGAATCATTTTTCAAGAAACTGTTTTACTTTTTTAATTCAACAAGCATTTTACTGATTTACACAATAAAATCACCACTTGCCGCTTATTTTGTGTTGCCTTTTTAATGTAAACTCGATTTTGCTTTTATTCTTTTGCTTATTCCACTTCTCATGCCTACATAAAAACATAATTTCTTCATCTGTACTTGCTAAAATCATCACCCTTGCCTTTTTCTCCTTACGTCATCCTAACATCTACAAAAGAAACTGAGCCACATTACAGTACATGTATATACATTTAGATTTTCTTTTCACATCGATATTAGGCCTTTAACATAGACCCAATACTGAAATACAAAGTACAGTTTTAGGCTTTACACTTAGTCCCACGTGAGAAGAGAATGTGGGGCTACTCACATGAATGTTACTTTTATACTGTTTTGCTGAACTGATACTGAGCCACAAATTCTCTTTTACATTAAACAAACCCACAGCATTTATATAAAATTTCTTGGAAAAGTCTGCATCCATGCAGATTTAAAGTGATACTAGGAGGAAGGATGCAGACACTTTCAAGAACTTCCTTGCCCTGTAACACACTATTATTGAGGGCATGTGACCTTAAATTGTCCTACCAGTGTAGTCTCTTCATGTTCCTCATGGGGCAGTGCAGGAAGGGATTACTTGCTGAGGAACTGGTATTAAAATCATCCTGATGATTAAAATATCATGAAAAATATAACTGGCCAGAAAAATCAAATCCCCCCATGAGACTCAGAACAGTTGCTGTGGTCCTGAAGCAAACTTTAGCACAACAAACTCATACCTGTAAGTGACACAAGCTGTTACCAATTCACAGAAATTGCATCACATGAAGCTGGCAACATATCATAATAATGTATTTTTATTTTTTTTTTTACTTATGTTCCCCCCCTAGTCAAATAGAGTTAAATATTAAACTTTTTGTAAAACAAATATTTCTATGAGATTTAAAGGAACGTTTGACAGTCGATCATTTTGGCAGATGACTAGATAAGCACTTTGTTCAAAGACCACTCTGCTAAAGTAGATCTCAGGTACTATGTTTTCTAGAAACCTCAGGAACAAAGTAGCAGACACAGAGGAAGTTTTCCAATGCTTCAGCATTCAATCAGTTTTGAAGAGATTAAAGGACATCCAATGCAAAATCCACTAACTCAAAATATCATCATATGGAATCCTTAGACATTAAAAGAAAAGTTAATTTGAAAAATAAGCAAATTAAGCAGAAGAATTGCAGTCATATTTATACTGTATTCAAAGTAACCAACACATACTGCATAGTACTTTCAACCAGGCCTTCTGACTATCTCCACACCAGACAATTCACCACTTTATAGCTCAACAGAAGTAAAGCACTTACTTTTTTATTGATATAATATGGATCCAGGTCCTCCAGGGGTTCAGACACCATTCCTGGAGGAATATCGCCATATATAAATGGCAGTGTCTTTCCTGCCTCCAAGTCATTACTTGGCTTTGGGTGATCTTCTTCATGACCATCATCATCTTTATGCTCTTTTTTGTCGCAACGAGATGTTTCATCAGCAATACGTTTTTCAATAGCTGCAAGAGATTCTTTGGTGAAATAGAAGAAGCTGTCAGATCCTGGTGGTACCAGCATTGCCTGTGCCATCTTTTCATTCTGCAAATTTTAAATGTTTTTAGGCTCTTGTGCAAGATCCTAGGAGAACATGAGAAAAAAAGAAACAGAAAATAGAGTGCAACAGCAACAAAAATCTCAAAATAAAAGCTTTTGACATAGTCATCTCCCTCTCTTCCAATTCTGAAACACAGTAGTAAGAAGTATTTCAATTAATTGTCTGATACTTAATAGAAAATGAGATGCCTTAGCTTTCCTAAAGTAATGACATAGAAAACAGACACAAGTTATGAGCTGGAAAAAAAATGAAAGGAAAAAAAGGCCAAATTTGCCTACAGTTTGTGAACTCAGGTTAATACAAACCTCACAACAAGAAAAAAGGAAAAACATTCTTGCTTTCCCTAGCCTAAAACACACTGTAGTGTGAAAAAATAATGCGTTAACACAGCTATGTACTGCAGTTAATGGTTACAAGTTCTAACATATGGATATATATGTCAAGTTGGCCTTTAAGTACCTTAAAAAAACTTGCAACTTTGAACTTGAAACTCTCTCTTAATTTCTGATGGCAACACTACTCCATCTAGTGGTTTATACTATACTTGCTAAACTAATGTTTATATTACACTATTAGACAAGTACTAAATACATGAATTTTGTATTTGAAGCCATATGCACAAGCAAGAAGCAACTGGGCTGAGGATTAGCTTTTCCCTTTTTGAGTTTCCTGACCTGCATCTTCCTGATTTTTAATTGTAACTTTGGTGGTGCTATGCTCCAAAATTAAGGCAGTTACGATGGATGAAGGGCTTTAGATTTATACAAAAAACATGGCATGCTCTCCCCAAAGCTACAGTACTCTGAGGGCAGATATACTTTCAAAAGACCTAAAAATAATAAATTGATTAAATTACAACAATAAGTTTTCAATGGATCACTTCTTTCTAGGTTTCTATTTTCTACAGTGAGAGCGCAGTTAACAAGCATGGGGACAGTTTCTTCACAATAAACCAATTTTATGAATAGAGACAAACTGGAATCCGGTCCTGCTTGCTGACACTGGTGAGTGTTGTAGCCTTCATTGACCTTGGCCGGCTGCAGACTCCCAGCCAGGACCTCTTTCACTCCTGCTCCTCAAAAGATGCAGTGAGGGAGAATAAAGCGAAAAAGTACATGCGTAGAGATAAAGATAGGGAGATCACTTACCAATTACCGTCATAGGCAAGACAGACTCGACTTGGGGAAAAAATAATTCATTGCCAATTACAATAGATTTGGATGGTGAGAAACAACGACAAAACCTAAAAGAACTTCCCCCTCTCCCTTGCCCCTTTTTTCCAGGCTCAACTTCATCTGTTCTTTCTCAGCTCCTATACCTCTTCCCTCCCCAAGTGGCATGGGGAAGATGGGGAACGAGAGGCTGAGGAGAGACCACTGCAGCTCCTCTCTGCTTCTCACTCCTCCTCATGTTTTTCTCCTGCTTCAGCATGGGTCCTTCCCACAGGCAGCAGGGCTTCAGGATAAGAATTGCTAGCAGGTCCAGAGAGGTAATTCTTCTGCTTTACTCTGCTCTGGTGAGACCTCACCTGGAATACTGTGTACAGGTCTGGAGCCCTCAATATAGGAAAGACATGGACCTGAATGGAGCAGGGCCAGAGGAGGGCCACAAAGATGATCAGGGGGTTGGAGCACCTCTGCTACGAGGACAGGCTGAGGGAGCTGGGATTGTTCAGCCTGAAGAAGAGGAGGCTCCAGGGAGACCTAATAGCAGCCTTCCAGTACCTGAAGGGGGCCTACAGGAAGGCTGGGGAGAGCCTGTTTACAAAGACCTGTAGTGACAGGACGAGGGGCAATGGCTTTAAACTGAAGGGGAGCAGATTTAGATTGGAGATTAGGAGAAAACTCTTTACTATGAGGGTGGTGGAGCACTGGAACAGGTTGCCCAGGGAGGTGGTTGAGGCCCCATCCCTGGAGATACTCAAGGTGAGGCTTGATGAGGCCCTGGGCAACCTGGTCTAGTTGGGGGTGTCCCTGCTGACTGCGGGGAGGTCGGACTAGATGACCTTTGGAGGTCCCTTCTGGCCTGGACCATTCTATGATTCTATGATAAGGCTGCTCCAACATGAGTTCTCCATGTGGCACAGTTCCTCAAGGAATACCCACCTGCTCTAGTGGGCACGTCTGCTCTGGCACACTCCTCCATGGGCTGCAGGGAAACACCTGCTTCACCATGGCCTGTCCCACAGGCTTCACTGGCACCTCTGCGCCAGCACCTGCAGCCCCTCCTCCTTCTCCTTCACTCACCTTGGTGTTCACAGAGCTGTTTCTCGCACTTTTTTTCCTCACACTGAGATGTGGCATTTTGCCCTTTTTTGGATGTGTTTTCTTACAGGCGCCACCATTTTGGCTGAGGGACTCAGCCGTGCCCTGGGGCAGGTCGGTCGGAGGGGCGCAGGGAAGCCCTGGCCTTTCCTCACAGAGGCCGCCCCTGGACCCCCTCCCCACCAAAACGGATGGTGCCACAGACACCCGGTACAGAAATATTGTGAATATTGGTCAGGGTGCACAAAGCCCAGTTCCCAAGAGGAAAAAAGCTGAAGCAAATTTAGATGAGTTGCTCCATTCGCTGAAGGCTTCTGTCACCAAAAATGTCACAGACTGCGCCTGTTCTACCCAGGAGGTGAGAGCTGGCTAAAGACATAACTTCTTTTCTTAAGAAAGTATGTGCTCAATAGCAGGGGTGTCCTGGGAAGGTAAAATAAATTGCTGACATACTTTTTCATGGAGTGTAACAGCTCTGAAGTCAATTAATACATGACGTCACGAATCCCAGAAACCTGCCTTTTCTAGGTCAACTTTTAGGTAACTTTTACATCAACTTAATATTAGTTGAGAAAATTTTCTATTTTTTAACAGTTTTCCAATGGAAACTAAATTCTCATGGACATGCACCCTACAGTTAGACAAGCCACCACTTCCTCAAAATTAGCCACTCCAGGGCGTGCACAGACTTCAAAACCCTGCTTTTTCAGCTGAGCTACAACAGCTTCTGAGTCCTTAGCAAATACTCTTTACCACAGTAAAAGACACAAAAAGGGGTCTTTGCACAAACTAGTAAAGAGATGAGACATTTCGTAATAAATAGCTATAGAAATCAGGCATTTTTCATGTCAGTCACAAATCACTTTAGGAAAACACAGAAATTTGTTTTCTCTGGAACAGAAAGCCCTAGAATGCCAAGTCTTCCCTTATTTATTAAAAAATGAATACTTTCATCCATGCCATCTTAAAGTCATTCATCATTCTCAAATGAAATATTTGATTGTTGCTTAGCCTTCTCCAGCTACACCCTTCTCAAATCCAAAGCACCTGTGACCCTGAAGATCTGCTATGCTTGGACTGAGAACCAGCTGTGTCTCAAAAGGTACTTTTGCTTCAGAAGCTGGAAGACATCTGTGGCTCTAAATACCTGGGGAAGATGCATCAGCAAAAATGGACAGAGATCGGGCTTACGAGGAAGGATACCAGGATCCTCTTCCATAAGCTTCATTTTTACCTAAGAACTAAAGTAAGTAATGCAAGTATTATTTGGTACCCTTATGTCATTTATTTAGCTTACAACTAATTTTTTTCAAAAATAAAAGGCGGGGAAGGCGGGGGGGAGTATTATCTATTTCTCTATTTGTAAGCTGAAAATTCATAAGAATTTCCTTAGCGTGAGCAGCCATATCTATTTAATCTTATTTTTTAAGTCAAGGAAAGCTCTTACTAGCAGGGGCTTTTTCCTACACTAACGTGGTAGCAGTCTTAAGTTAAATAGCAGGTTTTCCCCAAAGAAGTCATTCTTATATGGTATATTAACCAATACTGTATGTTGTAAGAGATTCTGAGGTCCGCACTTAAAATAAAATTTGCCTTTTCTGTATTGAATTATGCAAACAGTTAATATATATGCAGCTATATGTAATCAGTCTACACACAGTTATTATCTAAAATGGTTAGATGGTTGCACAAAGTCTTTTAGAGTCTGAAGAGACAAAAGCAAGATCCACAGCCATTAGAACAACTTCTATCTTAAAACCAAATAAAACAGAAGCTGTACACATGTTGACTGTAACAGGGGGCTGCCCTGTTACAGTTATGCTGCCCTTTATGGAATAAATATGATACAGGTTTTTTAGCACACATACACTGCACTGACCAGTCCACCACAACTATGAAAGTAGGAGCATACTTAGCAGTCTAGGAAATACTCATGCAACTTTGTGTTTTGATGACTATCTTCAGAAACAAAACAGGCAGAAACAAACATGTCAACAAAAAGAAAAAGGAGACACTCTCAGAGAATAAGACAAATACATGCCATAACATCCAGCTAGTCTTTGGGGGGATGCTGTCATTACTTGGAGAAAGACTTTACAAAACTTTAAAAGTAGTTTTCTAGTCAACTTTATGAACATAGACTCAGGTTGTAACGAATACAGTATCTGCTGAAACTGCTCATTAAAAAAAACATGTACTTGATAAATATTGTGTCTGTCTATGCATTTAGGCTAAATGTTCTCTTTAGAAGTCTATAATATGTAAAACTAAAAGTTCATGATTGTTCATTTCACCAAACATTACTATGGCCTCATAGAAATTTTTGTGAGTTGTTACAGTTTTTATCAGAATGAACACCAATCTTTCGGCTTGCCTGTTCATATTCCACTGGTTTATTCAGCAAGGCTTAAGTGGCATCCTTAGGGCTAATATGAGCCCCATTATTTCTCTCTAGAGACACCACAGACAATGACTGCAGTACATCTCTCAATGTTAACATAAAACAGAAAAAGGATCTTTTCCAATACATAACAGGAATCTCTTCTATTAATGATTTACCCTAACAGCCTAATCAGAACCTGTGCTTGGAAAAAACGCCACACCTATTAAACAAATCTTGAGATGCAGTTCATTGATGATGTTTTCTTGTCATGACTTCTAAAAAGTACTACAAATATATAAACACTGTAGTATTGTAGAGCAAACTGATACCACTTATATCATTACCTCACGGAAATCAGTTTACCCAAGAAAGAAAT